GAATGATCAATGGGTTACAGAAGACATCAAGGAGGAAATTAAAAAATTCTTAGAGATAAATGAAAACACAGACACAACATATCAGAATCTATGGGACACAATGAAAATAGTTCTAAGAGGAAAATTCATTGCTTGGAGTTCATTCCTTAAAAAAAGAAAAAACCAACAAATAAATGATCTCACACTTCATCTCAAAACCCTAGAAAAAGAAGAACAAAACAACAGCAAATGTAGTAAAAGGCAGGAAATAATTAAAATCAGAACTGAAATTAATGAAATTGAAACAAAAGAAACAGTTGACAAAACTAAAAGTTGGTTCTTTGAAAAAATAAATAAGATTGACAGACCCTTAGCCATGCTAACAAAGAAGAGAGAACTCAAATTACTAGCATACGAGATGAAAAAGGCAATATCACAACAGACACTACAGAAATACAGATTAATTAGAAATTATTTTGAAACCTTATACTCTGATAAAATAGAAGATAGTGAAGGAATCGATAAATTTCTTAAGTCATATGATCTGCCCAGATTGAGTCAGGAGGATATAAACAACTTAAACAGACCAATATCAAGTGAGGAAATAGAAGAAGCCAACAAAAGACTACCAACCAAGAAAAGCCCAGGACCGGATGGGTATACAGCAGAGTTTTACAAAACTTTTAAAGAAGAACTAATACCAATACTTTTCAAGCTATTTCAGGAAATAGAAAAAGAGGGTGTACTTCCAAATTCATTCTATGAGGCCAACATCACCCTGGTTTAGGAAAAACAGACAAAGACACTTCAAAGAAAGAAAACTACAGACCAATATCTCTAATGAACCTAGATGCAAAAATCCTCAATAAAATTCTGGCAAATTGGATAAAAAAATCTCAAAAAGATCTTGCACTATGATCAAGTAGAATTCATACCTGGGATGCAAGGCTGGTTCAATATATGGAAATCAATAAATGTAATTCACCACATCAATAGACTTTAAGATAAGAACCATATGATCATCTCGATAGACACAGAAAAAGCATTTGACAAAATACAATATCCCTTTATGTTCAAAACACTAGAAAAACTAGGGATAATAGGAACTTACCTCAACATTGTAAAAGCTGTTGATGCTAAGCCTCAGGCAAGCATTATTCTAAATGGAGAAAAAATGAAGGCATTCCCTCTAAAATCTGGAACAAGACAGGGATGCCCTCTCTCACCACTTCTATTCAACATATTTCTCGAAACACTGGCCAGAGCAATAAGACAGACGAAAGAAATTAAAGGCATAAAGATAGGAAAAGAAGAACTTAAATTAGCACTATTTGCACATGACATGATCCTATAACTAGCAGACCCAAAAGGTTCTACCAGGAAACTTCTAGAACTAGTAAATGAATTCAGCAAAGTGGCATGATATATAACCAACACCCATACATCAAAGGCATTCCTGTATATCAGTGACAAATCCTCTGAAATGGAAATGAGGACAATCACCCCATTTATAATATCCTCAAAAAAAACAACAACAACTTGGGAATCAACCTAACAAAAGAGGTTAAAGACCTATACAATGAAAACTTCAGAACCTTAAAGAGAGAAGTAGAAGAAGACCTTAGAAGATGGAAAGATATACCTTGTTCATGGATAGGAAGAATTAATATCATTAAAATGGCCATATTATCAAAAGTACTCTATAGGTTTAATGCCATGCCAATCAAAATACCAATGGCATTCCTCGCAGAAATAGAAAAAGCAATCATGAAATTCATCTGGAAAAATAAGAGACCCAGAATAGCAAAAGCAATTCTAAGCAGGAAGAGTGAAACAGGTGGCATAGCGATACCAGACTTCAAACTATACTACAGAGCAATAGTAATAAAAACAGCATGGTACTGGTACCAAAACAGGCAGGTAGACCAATGGTATAGAATAGAGGATGCAGAGACCAATTCACAAAATTACAACTACCTTATATTATACAAAGGTGCTAAAACCATGCAATGGAGAAAGGATAGCATCTTCAACAAATGGTGCTGGGAGAACTGAACATATGCAACAAGAATGAAATTGAATCCCTTTCTCTCTCCATGCACAAAAGATAACTCAAAATGGATCAGGAGCTAGGAATAAAACCAGAGACTCTGCGTCTAATAGAAGAAAAAGTTGGCCCTAATCTCCACCTCGTGGGGTTGGGCTCCAAATTCCTTAATAGGACACCTATAGCACAAGAGTTAAAATCAAGAATCAACAAATGTGACGTATTCAAACTAAAAAGTTTTTTTCTCAGCAAGAGAAATAATAAGAGAGGTAAATAGGGGGCCTACATCCTGGGAACAAATTTTTACCCCTCCCACTTCAGATAGAGCTTTAATCTCCAGAGTATACAAAGAACTAAAAAAACTAGACAATAAGAAATCAAATAACCCAATCAACAAATGGGCAAGGATCTGAACAGACACTTCTCAGAGGAGGATATACAATCAATTAACAATTACACAAAAATATGCTCACCATCTCTATCAATCAGAGAAATACAAATTAAGATCACTCTAAGATACCATCTCACTCCAGTAAGAATGGCAGCCATTATGAAGTCAAACAATAACAAGTGCTGGTGAGGATGTGGAGAAAAAGGTACACTTGTACATTGCTGGTGGGACTGCAAATTGGTTCAGCCAATTTGGAAAGCAGTATGGAGATTCCTTGGAAAGCTGGGAATGGAACCACCATTTGACCCAGCTATTTCTCTTCTTGGACTATACCCAAAAGACCTTAAAAGAGCATACTACAGGGACACAGCTACATCAATGTTCATAGCAGCACAATTCACAATAGCTAGACTGTGGAACCAACCTAGATGCCCTTCAATAGATGAATGGATTAAAAAAATATGGCATTTATACACACTGGAATATTACTCAGCACTAAAAAATAACAAAATCATGGCATTTGCAAGGAAATGGATGGCATTAGAGCAGATTATGCTAAGTGAAGTTAGCCAATCCCTAAAAAACAAATGCCAAATGTCTTCTTTGATATAAGGGGGGTGACTCAAAACAGAGTAGGGAGGAAGAGCATGAGAAGAAGATTACCACTAAACAGGGACGAGAGGTTGGAGGGAATGGGAGGGAGAAAGGGAATTGCACGGAAGATGGAAGGTGACCCTCATTGTTATACAAAATACATGTATGATGGTGTGAGGGGAAAGAAAAAAGAGAGAGAAATGTGTCACAGTAGATGGGGGTAGAGAGAGGTGATGGGAGAGGAGGGGAGGGAGGGGGGATAGGAAGGGCAGCAGAATACAACAGACACTAGTATGGCTGTATGTATAAACGTGGCTGTATAACCAATGTGATCCTGCAATCTGTACACGTGGAAAAATAAGAATTCATACCCCATTTGAATCAAATGTATGATATGTCAAGATCATTGTATTGTCTTGAGCAACTAATAAAAAAATTTTAAATTTCAGTTATTGTATTTTTCAGCATTAAAAGCTTCTTTTGGTTCTAAAAAATGAATACATACAAACAACAATAAGTGTTGGGTGAGGATGTGGGAGAAAGGGCACACTTATACATTGCTGGTGGGACTGCAAATTGGTTCAGTCAATTTGGAAAACAGTATGGAGATTCCTTGGAAAACTGGGAATGGAACCACCTTTTGACCCAGTTATCCCACTCCTCAGTCTACACTCAATGGACTTAAAAACAGTATACTACAGGGACACAGCCCCATCAATATTTATAGCAGCACAATTCACAATAGCTAAACTGTGGAACCAACAGAGATGCCCTTCAGTAGATCAATGGATAAAGAAAATGTGGTATGTCTACACAATGGAATATTACTCAGCAAAAAAAAAGAGAACAAAATCATGGCATTTGCAAGTAAATGGATGGAGTTGGAGAATGTAATGCTAGGTGAAGTTAGCTAACCCCCCAAAACAAATGCTGAATGTTTTCTCTGATTTTAAGGAGGCTGATTCATAGTGGGGTTGGGAGGGGGAGCAAGGAAGGATTACACAAATTCTAGATAGGGCAGAGGGGTGGGAGAGAAAGGGAGGGGGCATGGGGGTAGGAAAGATGGTGGAATGAGATGGACATCATTACCCTAAGTACATGTATGAAGACATGAATGGTGTGAATATACTTTGTATTCCACTCGAGGTATGAAAAATTGTGCTCTATATTTGGAATATGAACTGTAATGCATTCTGCTGTCATATATAACAAATTAGAATAAATAAGTTGATTAATTTTAAAAATATAAAAACTAAATATCCAAGTTAATGTATATAAAATATTTAAATAATTGCTTACAAATCAACATTTGTCATAATATTATTAAATTATGAATGTTACAAAATAAAATATGAATAAAATAGAAGCCAAATTATGGTTTAGAATGTTCTAAGTTAAAGTTTAAATTAAAAACTGTGAACTTAAGAGGGAAATATATCCATTCTTAACAACTCCTGGCATATAATATATTATACCAAAATAGAGATCTTAATTATTTTTGAAGTAATTAAATTAAATTCATAGCAGATAATACTATGAAGATATTGCATTACTTTTTGTAAGGAAGCACTCTGACTTTCAGGAAATAATATTCCAAACATCCTCTCCCTTAAGAAAACATGCATTAAGTTTACTTGGAATATTTAGGAGAAATAAAGGAAAAAAGGGTTATTGTTCTACTGGTTCAATATATCCATTGCTTTCACATAAGACAATAACAAAATTTAAAAAGAGTAGGTCATGTGACCTATAAGAAAAGAAGGAAATATTTGTTAAACAAGTTAAATTGTCAGACTGCATACTAAAATACAGCTAGGTTCCCTGAAAGATACTCCAGGCCTACTTTCAGTTAGGATGCTTGATCTTCTCTGGTCTCAAATATCATTATCACTGGAAGAGATACATTGGAAGCACTGACTTTTTCTCATAGTTTACAAAGACCCAAAAGAACTCTCAATATTTTTGCTACTATAAACCCCTGAGAATTACCTTTGCGCAGGAAATTTCCCTCATCATTTCTAATTCCAACTTTATATTTTACAATATTTTTATAATTTGCTAGTGGATCACACTTCATGTTTTGAAATTCAGCCTGTCTCACAACAGAATCCAAATCTTCTTCACTCAGTGATTTTGCAAGAAACTTGCAGATTTTAAGCACTGAACTTCTGAGGTCCTGGAAGAGTCATAGTTATGAAAGATTATTTAGTATGTGAAGGATACATGAGTTACATACAGGTAAACACACAACACAATCAAGTGTAGGTGAAAAATTCCAACATGCAGGCACTGTCAATGACTTCTTAAATAGGAATCCTAAAGTTCAAGAAATAAAAGCAAAAATAGACAAATGGTGTTGCATCAAATAAAAAGCTTATGCACAGCAGTGGTAACAATTAGCAGCCTGAAGAGAGAGCCGACAGAAGGAGAGAATATCATTGGCAGCTACACTTCTGACAGATAATTAAGACCCAGAAAATATAAAGAACTAAAAATAACACACACACACAGACTCACAAAGAACAACAACCCCCCACCCAAACAACACATTCAATAAATCAGCAAATGAACAAAACAGACATTTCAAAAAGAAGTACAAATGGCCAACCATTACATAAAAAATGTTCAACATCTTTATCCCTTTATCAAAGCCACACTGAAATTCCATTTCACTCCAGTCAGAATGCACCAGTAACACAGGAGCCTGAGGAAGGAGGATCTTAAGTTCAACGCCAGCCTCACCAACTTAGTGAGACCCTGTCCCAATATTAAAAAAAAATAAATAAAGTGCAGGAAGTGTAACTCAGTGGTAGAGTACCCCTGGGTTTAATCCCTAGTACCAACCAAACCCAAACAAACAAACAAACAAACAAACAAACAAAAAACCCCAATAAATGCTGGTAAGAATGTGAGAGGGGAAATGAACCCTTATGTACTGTTGGTGGGACTGCAAATTGGTACAGACATTATGAAAATCAGTATGGAAGTTCCTCAAAAGACTAAAAATGGAACTACCATACGACCCAGCTCTACCACTCCTTTGAATTTATCCAGAAGCATTAAATTTAGCATAGAGTGATACATGCATGTTCATGTTCATAGCAGCAAGAGTCACAATATTCAATATAGAAAAACAGCCTAGGTATCCATCAGCATATAAATGAATAAAGAAAAAATGTGGTATATGCACAGAATGGAATACTATTCATTCTTAAAGAACAAAATAATGTCATTTTCAGAAAAACGAATAGAACTGGAGATCATCACTTTAAGCAAACTAAGCCAGACTCAGAAATAGAAGTATCACATTTTTTTCTCTCTTATGTGGGATTTAGAGGGAAGAAAAGGAAGGCATGAATGTAGAAGAGACTATTAGAGAAGAAGAAAGGAGTCAGGGAGGTGAGAAGAGAAATAAGGGAGCGTACGGGAGAGTGTGGAATTGATCAAAATATGTTATATGTATACATGAACATGCCATACTGAAATCCATTATCAAAAAGTTCAGGTAATGTAACTCAGTGGTAGAGAATCCCTGGGTTCAATCCCCAGTAGCAACCAAACCAAACCAACCAACCAAACAAATAACGAAAAAAAATAATAAATAAATAAAATAAAGATCATTTGAAATAACTTTGAAAAGATAGTTAAAATGGTATATTTTAGTTATGGATATTTTACCACAATTAAAAAGTGCAATGGGGATAAAACCAAACCAGAAATACTATATGCAATAGCTGTTCATAGGAAAGATGGATTAATTCTATGAGATTTCAGACTTAAAATAGACCTAAGCTCATTAATCGAAATGGAGATATTAGTGAATAAATTTCCTAGAAAGTTAAACCCAGATGAAAAGAGAAATACAGAACTGGGAACTAGGGACAGGGAAAATAAAAACATTCAGAAAGATACATCATGGAAGGGGTCAGATGCCTTCATTGCCATATGTGGTGGATATAGCAATGTGACTGTGGATAATGACTGTGGATAGTGAGAACACAGCCCTGAGGAATACCTGTTAATAAGGGATAGGCAGGAAATTAGGAATGCCACCCTCTTCCCTGCACCATTAAAAGTCTAAGGAATAGTTAGATATGAAAATGACTAGAAGAATGTGTTTTGAAGAAACCAAGAGAATAAAGGGCTTAGGAGAATATATACATATATTTTAAAATAGCCTTCTTATTCCACCTTCTTCATATCTTCATAGCACATGAACATAATATTGAAGTCATTTCTGCGTTCATACCAGCCTCTTATATGATCAAACCAACAGTTTGCTTCCACTGTGGAAAAAAAGAAGTGAAAATATAGATGAAGATGTTGCACTTATTGAACTCCTCCTCCTCCTCCTCCTCCTCCTCCTCCTCCTCCTCCTCCTTTTGAATAACAATAGCTATTCAGAAATAAAAATTTCCTACCAACTGACATCTATATTACTGTTTTTAAATGGGTACTGTATTGGGAAACAATCACATGATTTTCATAGAAACCTCCCTATGCAAAACTGTTCTATATATTGAAAGAAAGCAATAATACAGAAATAAAACCCAAGGGTCTAAGTTTGAAGATAAATTTTTAAGGTAAATTTTTTACCTGCTTCCTTCAATGAAAACATGTTTTCATTTTTTCCGTTCCTTAAGATCTCTGGATAATAACATTAGCCATCTACAATGATACAGAACCTGAACACAATCTTTAAAGGAGAGAGATCCTGATGCCACTCTCCAATCTCTTATCTATCCATCCTCCTCAGAAGTGGAATGAAAATTCCATAGCTTCCTTGACAGCCTACCACAGGTCCATGACATAGCACAGAAACTCCCCCTGGTTCTTAACAATTCATGAATGTGTGACGCTACCTACATTTCTAGTTAGATGAAATTGCTAGAATATTCTTGCACCTCTTATGGTCTGGTTAAAATATTTCCTAAACAATAGGCTTCACAAATTTGACAACCCCCAATGGTCCTGGCAAGGATAGAAAAGCCATGTGTGGTTAAGTTGATGTACAATAGTAATTACTCACAAACATCCATGGTCTACAATTGTCCTTCCCTGTCTCTCTAAAACATGTTTCCTAAATTAGGGAATTTGGCCTTTGGCAGCATTGTTTCATAAACATGTTGCTTGATAAGTAAAGTCTTAGTTACCTTTTCCATCTAGAAACTTTTCCATGAAATGGTCAAGTGTATCTGAAGGTTTTAATATAGCTAGCCAATTTGTAAAATAAAAAAAAGAGACCAAAATATCTTTAGGATTTCTGTAGACATAAAGAACCTACAAGGAGAAGTACAAAATAATTTTAGCAATCCTTGGTTATTATTACAAATTTTTAACAGCTACATAATATTTTATTACCACATTGAATCATAATTATTTTCATATAGTCTGCTAGTCTTGGAAATTTAGGTGGTTACAAATTTATTCTTTTTGATATTAATTCAATTCAATTCAATTAATACTATCATTTATATGATGGTTCACATGTGTGCAATAATGTAAGACAAATTTCTAAAAAGTGGAATTAATTATTTATAAAGATTTTAAATATTTTAAATTAGTTTACATAGACTGTATTAATTGAACATCCTTGATATTATCTGATATTTGATGTGTAGTACTGGAAAAAGTGAAAATAGAAAATGAAGTTTAGACCTCTGTTTAAAAAAAAACACGTTTAATCTCATAACTGAGTATGGACATGCAAATTAAAATTAGTTTGAGATTACAACTATCATATTGATAAAAAATTAAAAGTCTGATATGTAAAATTACTAGGGATAAAATAAGAAACTAAGAACACATGAATTACTGATATCAGTATGACCGGATACAGGTGCTTTCTTAACAATATACAGCCTCACCCCATAAAGTTGAACATCCTTGCATTGTGGCTTTGCAGTTCCTTTCTTGGATGTATAATCTAGGGAAGCTGCTGCAGATGTGCCCAGGTTACACACTCAAGAACATTCTTAGCAGCATGTAGTTATAGCAGAGTATTAGTGTAACCTAATTATTCAATGAAGAGAAAGTATAGATCTGATAGAACTACCAACACAACTTGTAAAACTATGCAGTAGTGAAAATAGCATTAAAAAACTAGAATAAACAAAACCATTTGGCAAAAATCCCAGGGTGGGACAGGGAAAGAAAACAGAACAAGGCATAAAATATTATATTTTATTTTGAGACAGAGTCTCACTAAGTTAGTTGCTCATGGCCTCACTAAATTGCTGAGGCTGGCTTGTATTTGGGAACCTACTATCTCAGCCTCCTGAGGCTCTGGAATTATAGGAGTGCACCACTGCACCCAGCTGCACACAGAAGTTATCTCTTTTTCTTATGTAGTTGTGGAACACATTACACATGAAAAAACTGATTGTATGATTGACAATAATAAGTCCCTAAAATTAGAACTCTGTACTGGGATTGAACTCAGGAGCACTCGGCCACTGAGTCACATCCCAAGCCCGATTTTATATTTTATTTAGAGACAGGATCTCACTGAGTTGCTTAGCATCTCACTTTTTGCTGAGGCTGGCTTGAAACCCACAATCTTCTTGCACCATGCCTGGCCCAAAATCAGAACTCTTAAAGTACCATTATCTGATGATAGGTAATTATATAAACTCTTACAAATAAAAAAACAATATCAAAAGAGTGGAATCAATTAGAAAAATAAAGCTGATATGACAGAGTATCTAAAGCATAACAAAATTGTATCCATACCCATACTAAAAAGGATATGTATCCTTTTAAAATGTTCAAATTCAAAAATATATATTTGGAAGTAGATATACTAAATACTTAATTCAAGAAGTAGAAAGAGAAATGCAAACAAAACATGAAAAGGATAATTAAAATGAAAGCATTAATCACAAAGTAGGAAATACTAAATTATGATTCCTAAAAGAAGTAACTTCTTCAGAGGATAGCACTCAGTGAAATTGAAAACACCTTGTATTCTGAAAACTCTAAACAGGAGAGAATATAAAATTTTCATCATTCCAGAATAAATGAAAATGAAATATGAAACCATAGAATTGGAGTAAATTGATAAGATCATGGGAAAATATGCTATACTTTTCTCAGCCATTTAAGATTTACACATAGTGGGTAAAAATACACTGAGAACAAGATAAGGTACATACGGAAGACATGAAAGTAAGTAGACTTGATAAAATAGAGCCACAGAATGAAGATGGACGAATACTGGAATATTGTAATGCTAGCTGGCTCAGAACTAATCCCTGTTTCTATTAAATTAAAAATCCACATTTAAAAATCATTATGGGTTTAAAATATTTTTAAGGTGGATGAGATAATTTGCATTATTAGTTAAAATATGTAAACCAACGAAAAATTATCACATATCAAACAGAAGTATCTATTTTTGGAATGAAGAATGGACAGTAGGAAGAGAGGAACAATAGAGATTCAGTATGTCAATATGTAGATTTCAAAATAGTGGAAATTTTTTAAAGCAAATCTTTCAAGAAATTGTGTTAGATCAATTGGTAAAACTGTTGGATAAATATCATGCAATATTTATGTGCTTCATCATGTGTTGTATGAAATATAACTTATAATCATAAATAAGAACAAAAAAATGAAGTTAATTAGGTAAAAGCTTGAGAGTATTTGCATAATCTTTGCAGTGGGAAAGTGTTTCCTTACTAAAGCACCAAAGCTACAAGTCATGAAAGTAACATTAACAGATCAGTTACATAAAATTAAAAGCTTTCAACAATTTTTAAAGGTAATCCATTGATTGGGAAAACACTGCCTTATGGAAATTGTTCCACAAAACAGTAAATAAGACAAATTAGAGAAAAATGGGCCAATGGATATTTAAAGGTTATTTAAGGTCCTATAAAAATATAAAAGGTAATCTCATTAAAATCAAAAGGTTTGCAATGTACTCAAGAACAAATTGTTATTCTAGGATATTAGTCATATTTGTTGATTACCAATTTTAATATGCATGTGAGGAGAAAAAGTATTCTCAAATGCTATTTACTAAAGAGTAAATTGATACATTATAGAAGAAAAGGAGGTAATGACTGCCAACACTTAAAATAGTTGGCTATTTTAATCTGAAAATTCCATCTTCAGTGAAACATGGCACAAGAATAAAAACATGTGAACCTTCATAAGAATGTTTATTAAAATATAATATACACATTTGCTGCAACTTACCTTGTTGATTAAATACATATTAAATACTGTGAACCATAAAATAAAATCCTATGAAACCATAAAAAAGAATTTTATGGCCAATGTGAAAGACATTTTGTGATAAACTATAGAATTATACGTGCAATAGCTCAAGAGTATACATATATTTATAACTTCATATAATGTGCAAGACAACATCCTAAGCATAGAATAATTATAACATTTGAAAGTATGTGGATAAGGGGATTTAGTTTTTCTGTCCCCAAAATGGTTAATTAATCTGTATGACTTACTTTAGCTTTTTGATTCTTCAGACCTTTGGGTACTAAATTATACTGTAGATGGGAAGTGAAGAAGCGAGGAGATGGTCTTTTGCTATGGTCCACATTGTGATTATTGTATTCAACGAAGGGAGCTCTAAGGGCTGTTGTGATGTTTTCAGTTCTGTTACGATGTCCCTCAAAATAAATCAAGGATAGAATCTGCTGAGTCCAGAAGGTTCCTGTAAAGATAAATCATCTTGTTTTCAAACCTGAAGGAGTTGAAATAATAAATATCAACAGTAATCTCATGCATCGTGAAATCACTTGAGCTTTTTTTCTTTAAAACACTCCAAATATGCTAATGAGTTTGCCCAATTTCTGGTTTGCTTTTTGTCTATATTAAAGTTAGTAAAGATAAAATCAAGTCGTCTTAGTTCCTTTCTCACTTAAGGAGTTGTGATTGTTCTGATTCTGTGACAGTGATGACTTGGATTAATTCTTGATGTTCTCTTTGTTTCCTGTATTCCATGTGAGGTCTTTTTTTTTATTATTAACTTGTAATAATTCGACCTATGGATGATGTAGGGTGTGATATTTCCACATACGCACAGAGACTGAGTTGATCACATCAGGGGAATTAGCACTTCCCACTCTGCCATGTCTTTCTGCTTAGATCCTTTGATTTCATTTATTCTAGATTTTCATAAAATAAATTATAATATTGAGTTCTGTTTTACTACATTTTATGGGTACTTCTGTCTTCGTTAGTACTTCTGTGCTCTTTAGTAAATAGAATTTGAGAATGCTTTTTCTCCTCACATGCATATTTAAAATGGTAATCATCAAATTGACTGCAACTTCTTTCTTAAAACTTTATCTTTTAGAAGTTTAGACAAATTAACAAAATTATAGCATGTTCAGTTTCTTCCCCCCTTTTTATTACCATTTAAGGTTATGAAATATTCTTATGTCATATTCCCAGGAAACCATGATAACACACATTATAGGGAAAGAGAAGACCAAAAATTTCAATGTTCTTATTGATTCTTGGTTCTTTAATGAGTTCAAATCTGCTCACAGGCTATGAAGGGATTTGGGAAATTCATGGAAATGTCCTACTCCATTTCCAATTAGAATGGACCCAGATGTGGTCACATGTAATGGTACTAAGGTTTTCCCTTATTTATTTATTAATGATTACTTTGAATTATTTATGAGTGGCAATGTGGACTTGAACACACAAATCCCACTGTTCTCAAGAGCAGGATAATAGTGCTTCTTATGAAGCAGAACTCATAATTTTGAAAAATTGCTCATGCCAAGATATTTCAGGCTCCAAAGCTGATAACAATAAAAGTTATGGTGTCCTCTATGGCCCTACATAAGTTTTCATCAACCACTACAATCTTGGCCCAGGATATCCAGAAGCACTTGGCAATTTGCTGGTGATTATTAAGTTCTTTGGTAGCCATACCAATGGATGATCACATGAAACTGCTATTTTTCTACTGTTCTATCTCTGCCAAGTCTTATGATGGCTTGTGTGTCTGAACTCCAAATGAGTATCTGAGCTAGAGTTAGAAAATCTATGAATACACATCGTAAAGAAACGGAACTGATTCTTATCATTGAAATAAGCAATACCATCAAATATTGCTGTAATTATCAAGGTATTTGGTGTGACCACACACTAGGCAAACTATAATTCAACTCTTCCATCTCAACAAAATAATTCAAGAACTTCAAAAGCACTGGGATCCATAAAGATTGGTGGAAGTCAATTTTCCAAAGGAAACCCATGCAAGCAATAGACTCATGCTGTTTACTGTACCATAAACGACAACATCCTTAGTATTTAACTCGTAACTCTCTTGTCATCTGTCAGCATATATAAAACTATGGCAAGTTAACAAGTTAGCTTACATATAGAATACAATTTTAGACCATTCTCAGATTGTGACAATGGAAGTCTTGAGTTCCAGAGTTTAGTGAGATAGAATGATTTCCTCAGTGCCCATCAAACTCTGTAAAATATTTAAGGAGACAGGCTGACTTGAAGTGAAAAACTGTACATATTTAGAAAATATATCATGTTTCACCAATCCATGTATGACCAACTTTATTTTGTGTGGTGTTCTGGGACAACCACATCATAAATAAGAAAACACTGTGTGTGAAATCTTAATATCTACAGCTTTACCTTTTAGTCTGCATTGACCATTGTAAAAGTGCAAACCAAGCCCTCCATGTGTCACTCCCTGCTGAAGTAGAAGCCACCATTTATAAAGGTTCTTAGTACCTTCTTTAGCCCAACTTCCTGCAGAAATACATTTTTGCCTTTCTGACACAAGGTATTTCTAACATAGTAGAGATCTGAATTTCGCGTAACTTTTTTCTGATCCTTAATGGATATCCAAATGTAGGCTGCTGCTGATGTCTGGGAAATAGCACATTTATACACATATATACCAATCCAAAGCAAAGAATATCAGGAGGCCACTCCTTACACTTACCAGATTTTGGATATGTTATTATGAAGACATCATCATCTCTAATTTCAAAATCTTCTATAGCTTCCAGCATTTCAATTTTAGCAAACTGACGTTGTAAATAGTGGCCTTTAAAGTTATATAAGTATGAATTCTTATTGTCCATGATTTTTCACCTACAAGTACAAACAAAATCCTCTTCAAGTTCTTAATATACTATAGGACTTTATTATTTTGTATACTTAGTGATAAATACATGCCAGTACCATTTCAAAGTCTTATATATATTAACTCTCTTACTATGCTAAACACATCACATACGAAATTACTTAAAACTACGTTAATCCAACATTGTTGTATTTTTATCATAATTATTTTAAAGATGAGAAAACAGAGATTCTAAGAAGTTAGGTAGTTTTTCCTCAAACCTCCATGATTCTAAACAGAGAGAAGAGGAAATCAAGGCACAGAGAAGTCAAACAAATTATTCAAAGTTGCCCAGTTAGCAGTGCTGGAAAGATTGGTAACAGACATTTTGGCCATGCTTTTAATCCAAAATATCTTAGAATTATCTTACATTTTTATTCCTTACATTTTTCATTATTACACAAATAAATTCTTTAATGGATACACTTTTAGTTATGGTAATTTTTTATGTCTCTGATAATTTTTTATGTCTTCTGAGGCTTGGGATTTGAGAAGCTGTTTTTAGTGAAAAATAGAAGAAAATGCTTTTCCTAAGGGACGCCAATTGGTTTTACTTCAGAAATATTACCTTAGTGTTACAAGATTCTGCATAGAAATTATGATAATTTCCAATAGAAGGTGTTTGAATTAGAAATTGGATACAAATTTAAATAATAAACTTAAAAACAACAGAAAGTGAACAATCTAAACACAAAACATTTCAAACTTCAGATCAGCCAAGCAACTCTATCAGGTCTGTCTAAAAAATATTTATGGAATGTTAAATTAGTGAAAGAATCTCAGAAAAATCTAATAACTTAGAACCAGAATACATCATTTGAGAAGTAAATACTAAACACTAAACTCAGAAATTAATTCCAGGGTAATCTTTAATATTTTCAAAGTACAAATTTTCCCTGGTAAATAAAGAGGCTGTAATCTGAGAATAAGTAAATTTTTAAAATATTGAGCCTGTTTCTTCTTTCTCATATGTATAGACTCACACAATATTTGTTAAACAATTTTCTGAGGGAGAATTTACACTGCATTATATGGATAAATGGAGAAGCCCATAGTAGGAGGTATAAGTTGAGGAGAAAGGCAAAAGAGAAGTGTGAGTTGCTACCACATGCCTCCTACCAGCCCACAACATCGTCCACACACACACCCTGAAATGTCACCAAGGGTTCCAGAAACTCTGGTTGGTGAGAAAGAGTATCAGGACAGTTTCTGAAAACATTTCAAATGAATGTTTTTTCTTATTTATTACATTTAGTCACTGAACTTTCAGTCTAAAGGTAAAGAGAATTTTAAGAGCCATGGTATCAGGGAAGCAATCGAGAAAGCACATGAGGAGGTGCCCACTGGCTACTCAGTATTGTTTGCATGGCTTTGATGCATGTGGGAGAAGGCGATTGTGTAAGTAGGAAGCCTGTCTGTGTCTCCTTATTCCTTCATGGAAGTCCCAAAGAAAAGGGGTGGGGGGGTGTTCATAGATAATTAGGGAGAAAAGGAGGTAAATACATATAGTAATCTCTCATTCAAAAGAGGTGAGAATTGATAGTGTCTCTGAATCTATCCTGTGAGTACTCACTGTTGAGATCAACTGCTGAAGGAAAACCAGCTCTCACAAAATTTTCAGGATGATCTGCTGTGTCACTGAGGAATAAATAGTCCATATGGAGTTTGTTTTGGCCAATGAGTACTGTCCTAGAAACTATTTGGGTAGCTCAGCTTGTGTAAATTGGATAAGATTTTGTTGATGCTGGGAAAAGCATATCAATTATTGATGATCCCAGGTTCTTTAAAGGGATCAAACGTTTTAGAGATACTAAAAAAAAACTTCAGGAGAAGAGAGGGCACATTTACTTAATTACAGCAATTATGAAAAAAACACAAGGATTCTAATTGAAATCTACAAGGAGAGTTCCTTGTATCTGAATGATGGTAAGTCAAATCTTTCAGCCCATCTCAGGGAATGGTGATTATTCTTCAGTTCCCTTCTTGCACTCTCCTATCATCTACCCTAAACTCACCCAGTTGTTTCTTCTATTGTTTAACTGGTACCTACAGAAAGTTCTAGGGGTTATATAAACTTCTGAAAAACACAAATTCCTTTTCCAGTGCACACTGGGTTGCCCTTTCTAATTGATGCCCCTACAATACTGTTACTTTTTTTTAATGGTAGATGTTACCTTTTTGTTTTCCACAATAATTGTTTTTTCATCTCAGATCTATTCTAACATCTCCCATGGAATCTCTTTTTTTTAATTTAGTTATTGATAGACCTTTATTTTATTTATTTATATGTGGTGCTAAGAATTGAACCCAGTGGCTCACACATGCCAGACAAGTGCGCTACCACTGAGCCACAGTCCCAGCCTTCCCATGGAATCTTAACTCATTCCTCAGTCTTCTGTTGCTCATATAAGCTGCTCTTAGATAATGATTCTCAGGTTCCCACTAAATGCAGAATCTGATCCCAGGGTAGATATCTAATCTTTTCAAACCTTCCCTGGTTAGAAAGTAGGGTGTAATCTGAGACTAATTTCAGTTTATAAGTATTAAACCTGTCTCTTATTTCACATAACATTTATCTAAAACTAAGGCTATGTTTGTAAAACAATTCATTTTCAGAGGACAGCAAATTGTGAAGAGTAGAAATCAATGGAATAGACTATGGATTAAAATGAAGGTTTTTAGATTATATAATACAATTTTCCATAGAAATTTGTGGCCTTTTGAGGTTCTTGAACTCTTTTGCCTTCCTCTCTTCCCTCTTTTTCTCCCCTGACTCCACATAATTATCTGCTGTGAAACATCTAGACCAGTAAGTGTAACAGCCAAGTGAATAAGACAGCTGCTTTCATGAGCAGAGAGCATTTTGATTTCCTTCTTCCCAGCTACACAGTGTTACGTGCATCTAGCAAGTAAGAGGGATTGAGAGGAACACAGAGCAATGGCTGATTGCAGAGGTGGGGCAGGAAAGGACAGAGGAGCAGCTTGAGACATCTTGTACCACAATGTGAAGATTTATGCAAAGAATTCTGGACACAGATCAAAAGGGCACCAGAGCCAGCTTGCAGGTATCACATCTGACCACTTCAGGAGCAATTTGAATTTTGCAATACATAATCATAGTGTAGATCACAACTTTTTGAATAAAATAAGAAAATATGAGTCTCTCCCAAGGGTAGACAAATGTTATTGACAGGAACAGACAGAGTTTTAGGATTTGTAGGCCAGATGGCAAGAATGAAGATAATATGCAGTTGTTTTTAGGAAGAAAGAAAAATATGCCAAGCTTTTATTCTTAATTATTTTTTCAATAATTTAAAATTGGAAAACTATTCTTAACTCACAGATCATACAAAAGTAGATTATTGGCTGGATTTGTGTCCCATAGATAGATTGAAAGCCCCAGTCATAACTGATGTGAATGCATGCAGAAATAAATGAATAAGAAGGAAAATACCTATTTGGACTGGAATATCATGAAGTAAGTATAGAAGAAATTATTGGAAAAGAAGTTTGAATGAAGAAGAGGATCTTCTTTAAACATTTTAAAGTATATTTCCCCAAATTATTAATTTCTTAGAATAAAATTTACCATGTAAAACTCTGGCACACACCACCTTAACCAACATTTGAAAGCTAACACCATGAATATTGCTGTTTATACCAACCTGACATTTCTCCTATTATGATCATTAAAGACATATAACTTCAGTTTGTTTTCTCAAAAAGTTCAACCTCATTTTATCATTAGTAAACATCAGAAGAAATAAATCTGAACAATATTACGGCATGTATTATTCAAAAATGCTGTAGTCTGTAAAATGAAGAAAGGAGAGAAATTATTTCAGATTAGACACAAAAAAGATAGAGTACATGATGCTGAAGTTGATCATGTCACAGAAAACAAAAAAAGTCTATATAAGACATTATTGTTACAATGGAAAAAATTTGAATATGTATTGGTAGTTTATATAATACTACTGTATCATTGTTTCATTTCCTTATCTTATAATTTTATTTAAATAACTTATTTAAGTAACTTTATTGTGCTTATTTTAGTGTCTTATATCTTAGGAAATTCACATGCAAGTAATTAGTAATAGAGGGGAATGATTTCACAGTCTCAAGCATTTTTCATATATATGAAAGTTGAAAAAGAGAGGTAGGTACAAAGAGAATATTGAAAAAAATGGAGCAAATATTTTTTAAATGGTGATTATGGGAAAGAATACCCATAAATTTGTGGTTCTATCCATATAATTTTTTAAGTTTGAAATTACATGAAAATGATTTCTCCCTTTTTAATGGAACTGTTTACTTTGTTCCATAATATATTGAATACACACACACACATATATAAATTTGCTTTTGATTTTTACAACACCCTTGTTTTATAAAATAATATTTAAGCAGCTGTCTTACAATCCTAAAATAAGGTGTGGTATAATTTGTGTACACATATATTTAGAAAAAAAACATGATATATATATATATATATATATATATATATATATATATATATATGTTTTTGTGTATGTGTGTTTGTATTGTCACATTTAAAAATACTTATTTAAACATGGTTATATATGTAGTGTAAATAAAAGTCAATATATTAACATACACAGAGTAAGATGTAGCATACATAAAAGGAAAACATGACCAAGTGCTCATGTACTGCCTACAGTTAAAGATTTAGTGTTGTCAGATACTTGCCCCTACTTACAATAATTAATTTGGAATTTAAAATAATGAGAACATAAATAATTCCACAAAAGAAAGACAGGAAAATAAATAAGCAGAATATTAAGTGTAGTAGGAAAACATTTGTGAAAATGTAGGAAAAAAATTTAACTGAGGTAGGATTTACTTGTAAGACAACTTCACAACTTGCAAGTTAGAGAAATTGAGAGCACTTGCTGTTCCTACAAATGATCTGCTCCAGTTGATATTATTATTCCATTGTCAAAGTAAACACAATGCCTTTTTAAATCTTCATCTTTTTGATGTAGGATTGTAAGAGTCCTTCTTTGGCATTTGGAACACTACTCTCTCTTGATCCTTCTCAGCCCTCTAGACCTATTTCTTCTTAGCCTCTTTTCTTGCTTCTTTTTCTTAATTGAGCCCTGAGTCTTAGTGTCCCCAATTTCCTTTTCAGTCCTCTTATCACTCAATGCTTTTTCCTTGTAGGAGTTCCCCCACAGCAACTCAAGTAATTTCTTGCTATTTAAAATTTAAATAATATTTCCTGGCTTTCTTATTGTTCATTTTTTCCAAGAATTTTATTTCTTATACTCTTCATCTTGGTAAACTCTTATTTAGCTTTTGTGATCCAATGAAATATTGCCTACAGTAAAAACCTTTCCCGGGACAAGCTAGACTGGAGGTGGAAGCCCGGCGCCAAGCCAGACCGGAGGAGGAAGCCTGGCCCTGCCCGGCATGCTAGTCCGGAGGAAGCCCATCAACCCTTAAAACCCATCAAAGCACGTGTGGCTACCAGCACGGTTCTGCAGCTGATCCAGGTACCCGATTTCCAACTCCCCCACCCTTAGCTGCGATAACTCAAAATATTTCCCACAAGCTTTTGGGGGTTGTAGTTATCAATGCAAAACAACAACTGTACAGGCAACTGGTTTCCATCTCAGAGACTAGAGTAGGGAAAATACAGGTGGAAGCTCATGTCCTTTCACACTGGCTATATCCACCACCCTGAACACAGAGGCTCAAGCTAGGAATAGACAATGCCACCTACTGGAAGCAAGGAAAACAGTGTTCTGACTTTTTTTTTCTCTTTCTCTCTTTTCTTCTCTCTCTTTCACAACCTCAACATATGTGAAACCAAGAACTGTGCATGAACAACCAAATCACCAAAATAATATAATATAGAGGAATTGCATATACCCCACCTTCTCCCCATTTTTTTTTATTTCTATCTTACTTTCTTTTTCCTTCTCTCTTATTTCTCTTTTCTTCCTTGTTATTTTTTTTTCTTTTCTTCATTTGTATTCCCTCTATCCCACTTTCAACCTCCTAACTTTTGCTATCTATACATAGGGTAACTAAATACAGATAGGAGTTTGAGTCTATACATTCTTCCATAAATTATCAGTCTATTGGTTAGAGTTCTCCAAAGTTGCTAAGTTAGTTTAACCTCATACCCTCACTTCTTTCCCTCTAAGTATAACATCCTTTGTCTGAAATTAAGTTTTCTATATGCCACCAGATAGGGTATGCCTTTTATGAAACTAATGACTATATTCTTAAATAATAATTAAAGCCAATATCTGTAGAATTAGAATCTAACTATAAACGTATTAATAATGAAAACTTGTGCTTAGATGATGTACTGTTGATATTGGGAACTGTTAACATTGTCTTTCTCCACAAAAGAGGGATTTTGGAGCTATACAAAAATAATATAAATATATAAGGGGAAAACCATTAACACAACAGTTTCACAAAGCTAGAAAGAAACATGAGAAGTATGAAAAGACAAGGAAAGAAAGGACCACAAACAATACAGGTCAATTCAACATTAGATGAGGTAATATCTGCAGCTGATGGAATGTCAGATACAGAGTTCAGGATATACATGCTTCAGATGATCTGGAGTCTCAAGGAAGACATTAAACAGCAAATCCAGACAATGAAAGATCACTTTGACAATGAATTACATAAACAAATCCAAGAAGCAAAAGATCGACTCTATAGGGAGATAGAGGATATATAAAAAAAAAAAAAAAAAAAACACAAAGAGAAATCCTGGAAATGCAGGAAACAAAAACCAAATTAAAAACTCAAATGAGAGTATTACCAGCAGAGTAGAACACTTAGAAGATAGAACTTCAGACAACGAAGACAAAGTTTTTCAACTTGAAAAGAACATAGACAGCTCAGCAAGAATGTTAAGAAATCATGAGCAGAACATCCAAGAATTATGGGATAATATAAAGAAACCAAACTTAAGAGTTATTGGGATACAAGAGGGTATAGAGGTCCAAACCAAAGGAATGAGCAATCTATTCAATGAAATAATACTAGAAAACTTCCCAGACTTAAAGAATGAAAAAGAAATCCAAATACTAGAAGCCTACAGGACACTGAATGTACAAAATCATAAGAGATCCACACCAAGACACATAATAATGAAGATGCCCAACATACAGAATAAGGAGAGAATCTTAAAAGCCACAAGAGAGAGGAAGCCGATTACATTTAGGTGTAAACCAATCAGGATAATGGCTGATCTTTCAACACAGACTCTGAAAGCTATTAGATCCTGGAACAACATATTTCAAACGCTGAAAGAAAAAGGGTTCCAACCAAGAATCATGTATCCATGAAATTAAGCTTCAGGATTGAAGATGAAATAAAAATCTTCCACGAGAAACAAAAGTTAAAAGAATTTGCAGCTACAAAACCAGCTCTTCAAAACATCCTTGGCAACATTACAGGAAGAGGAAATGAAAAATAACAATGAAAACCAATAGCGGGAGGTAGTATAGTAAAGGAAAAACTAATCATAGAGGAAAAAAAAATCATGTTAAGTAACATACATGATCAAATATGGCTGGAAGTACAAACCATATCTCAATAGTAACCCTAAATGTTAATGGCTTAAATGCACCAATCAAAAGACATAGGCTAATAGAATGGATTAAAAAAAAGATTCCACAATATGCTGCCTACAGGAGACCCATCTGATAGAAAAAGACATACACAGACTGAAGGTGAAAGGTTGGGAAAAATCATACCACTCATATGGACCCCAGAAGGAAGCAGGGGTGTCCATACAAATTTTATTTTATCAAATAAAATAGACTTCAAGCCAAAGTTAATCAAAAGGGATAAACAAGGACACTACATACTGCTCAAGGGAACCATACACCAACAGGACTTAATGATCATTAATATATATGCCCCAAACAATGGTGCAGCCAAGTTCATCAAACAAACTCTTCTCAAGTTCAAGAGTCAAATAGACCACAACACAAAAATCATGGGAGTTTTTAACACACCTCTCTCACCAATGGACAGATCTTCCAAACAAAAGTTGAATAAAGAAACCATAGAGCTCAATAATAAATTTAATAACTTTGACTTAATTGATATATACAGAATATACCACCCAACATCAAGCAGTCCTAAGAGCCATAGCCAAGTAGTAATGATGCATGGCATTTTTGGTTGAAAGGTGATGCCAGCAAGCCATTGAGATGATGTGATTATGTTAAGATCTGCATTCAAATGGATATTAGACCCCTGCTGTCTGCCTCAGCATGCTACTTTGGAGCTCTAGCGGGACTCCCGGAGAGTTCCCATTGGTTGGGGAAGTGCGGTAGGAGGGACTTCCGGAGGAGGGATTTGCGGTTGGTGTGTGGGTCCGGGAGAATGCCACATGTGTGGGTTGGCATATTTCCCGGGAGCATACAGGGCACTGGCGGGAGTTTCAAAAATAAAATTTGTTCCTGTTTGAGTGGCTCGTGATTTTTGTGCCCAGCCAGACTGTGGCAATTAGTGGCCCGTGCAGGGAATGCCTGAAGCTCAGAGGTAAGTAAAATTGCTCGCCCCGAGGGAAGGCGAGAGAATGGGTGACCATTTCAAGAAAAAATGTGTTCTTGTTTTGATTTATTTTGTTTTTGTTTCAAGCTGCCTATCCCTAGAACTTTCTCAGGCAAACTGGGAAAAATGGTTGGCTCAAGGTTTGAAGTTGTTCGGCCCTAAGTAAGAGAAAATTGATACAACAATTTTTTGTTCTGTTTTTGTTTCATTCTGTTTCGGTTTTGTTTTATGTTATCTTGTTGGGTTGCATTACCTTTATAGTAGATTAGAAATTAGTAAAAAACAAACCAAAAAACTGTTAAGTAAATTGTTAGAGGTCCAGACTATGGTAGAAAACATGTTAGGTCAAGCAAAAGAGAAGGTCTCTCGAGCTAGTCAGATAGAGGAAAATTTAAAAGAAGAAAGCTTAGAGGAAAAACAACCATCAGGGGGAAGCTACAATAGGAGGCTGCTACAAATAGATCAAGAAATAAATAGACATGGATTGGGTTTTCAGAAAGGGCCACTGAGACAATCAAAATTACTTGGAAATCAGAAAGACCAGTATGGGTTCCTCAGTGGCCCCTGACTAAAGAAAAGATACAAGTAGCCCATGGCCTGGTCAAACAACAATTAGTGGAGGGACATATACAACCTTCCGTATCTCCCCATAATACTCCCATTTTTGTCATTAAAAAGAAATCTGGTAAATGGGGATTATTACAAGATTTAAGAGCCATTAATAATGAGATGGTTATTATGGGACCTGCTCAATCAGGGATTCCCCAATTGTATGCTTTGCCAAAAACCTGGTGTGTTTTAGCTATAGATATTAAAGATTGTTTTTTTTTCAATTCCAATTCATCCTGAGGATAGTCCACGTTTTGCATTTACTATCCCTGCACTGAATCATGAAAGTCCTGGTCAGAGATATGAATGGAAAGTACTCCCTCAAGGGATGGCTAATAGTCCAACTATGTGTCCAATTTATGTTAACAAAGCAATCCAGCCACTTAGAGATCAAAATCCTGAACTACAAATATTTCACTATATGGATGATGTGTTATTGGCACATAAAGATAAAAACACATTGCTAGAATGTTATGCCACACTTAAAAATTTATTAAAAAATTATAATCTAGAGATATCAATAGATAAAGTACAATTAAATCTTCCAATTAATTATTTAGGAGTTCTATTATCCTCAACCATGGTCCGTCCACCAAAAATTCAAATACGAGTAGATCAACTCAAATCACTTAACGACTTTCAAAAGTTGTTTGGAGACATCAATTGGATAAGGCCTTATCTAGGCATACCAACAGGAGAGTTGGGACCTTTATTTGATATCCTAAAGGGTCCATCAGATCCAAATTCACCCCACATGTTAACGCCTAAAGCAAGAAAGGTATTAAAAAATCATTGAAACATATATGGAAAATATGCATTTGGATAGAATTGATATAAGTTTGCCTTTATTATTTATTGTACTACCAACAAAAAATATTCCTACAGGGGTATTTTGGCAAGAAGGTCCATTATTGTGGATACATTTATCTTATTCTCCTAACACTATTCTTACTAGGTATCCTGAGGCTGTAGGACAATTAATACTCAAAGGACTAAGAGCAGCAAAGGGAGTGTTTGGGATTTCTCCCAATAAAATTATTACTCCATATACTATGGATCAAATTGATGAGTTAGCTAATGAGTTAAAAACTTGGGCAATAATCATGTGTAAATCTAATGTTTCATTTGATAATCACTTAACCTCTAATCCTTTGTTGTCTTTTTGGTCTTCACATCCTGTAGTTTTTCCAAAAATGACAAAAAACCCTATCATGAATGCTCCAAATATATTCACTGATGGGTCAAATAATGGTACAGCAGCAGTAGTTACCCCTGATCAAACTTTTACATTTTTAGTACCCAAACAATCAGTTCAAAAGGAAGAGCTTAATGCAGTATTACAAGCTTTTGTGATGTTTAAAAATTCTGTATTTATTTTCTGATTGTCAGTATGTAGTTAATGCTATAGTATCCCTTGAAGATGCTGGTAGGATTTCCCCTTCCTCTACTGTTTTCTCTTTGTTTTCCACTATACAAAGTCTAATCTGGGACAGAAAAGATCCATTCTTTATAGGACATATCAGGGCACATACAGGATAGCCTGGAGCCCTTAGTTTGGGCAATGAATTAGTACATAAATCTACACATGACATACATATTTTCTCCATAATAGAAGAAGCTATAAATTTTCATAAAAGGTCCCATGTCAATGCTAATACTTTACAAAAGCATTTTAAAATAACTAAGGAACAAGCCAGACATATAATAAAACAATGTCAAAATTGTGTGACATTTTTACCACAAGTTAATCTTGGAGTCAATCCTAGAGGATTGATACCTAACCATATTTGGCAGATGGACGTCACACACTTGCCAGAATTTGGAAAGTTAAAATATTTGCATTTTACAGTTGATACTTCTTCTGGATTTCTGATGGGCTCCCTTCATGCCGGAGAAAAAACTAAAGATATTATAGCTCATTGCTTACAAAATTTTGCCACTGTGGGCGTTCCAAAACAGTTAAAAACAGATAATGGTCCTGGCTATACCTCTAACTCTTTTAAACAATTTTGCTCATCATTTGGCATTACTCACATAACAGGAATTCTATACAATCCACAGGGACAAGGCATAGTTGAAAGAGCTCATCAATCTATTAAAATGTACTTATTAAAGCAAAAAGAGGGAATTGGAAAGGGGTATATATCCCCCAAAGATAAACTTAAAATAACACTTTTTACTCTAAATTTTTTAAATTTGGATTCATCAGGACTTAGTGCTGTGGAAAGACATAGGTATCCAAAAAATGTACATAAGCCTAATGTACTTTGGAAGGACATTCTAACAGGACAATGGAAAGGTCCTGACCCAGTGATTGTCTGGAGTCGGGTTCTGTTTGTGTGTTTCCACAGGGAGAACAGCAGCCGATTTGGATTCCAGAGAGACTAACCAAAGTGATTTCTACAGACCAAAAAGAAGATGATTTGACTCAAATCCATAACAGCTGATATCCAGAGCTCCAGCTTGGCTATTTTTACATCTGTGACAGCGATTAACCAGGATGCTTTTTTCAATATCTATTTCATTATTGCCTTTTCCCACATCATAAAGTTCTATTTTATTTTTTGAGCTCATACAGACCTAGGTTAATGTTTTTCTGATCAGTTTTATTTTTTGAATGTGGAGTTTTTAAACATTGTAATGGAGATTTCACCTGTGTAAAGCTACAAGGCCTTTACTATTGTCTTATGTGTTGTATGTTTGTGTGCACATTTCTGTTTTGTGTTGTATGTCTGTATGTGCGTATGTCCATATATCATATATGAGGAGCACTCATGAAAAATAGATCCAAATTTTTTATTATCACGTGATTTTTTTTTTTAAGATGTTTGAAGATAATGCTTTTTAATATTTCAAATATTTTTTAAAATGTCATAAAAAACGTATCACCTTAACAGTACTTTGCACATGTGGAATTCATACCTAAATCTGATACTATTTTGGTTTATTTATGGCTACTTACAAGAAGACTCATGGTATTAATGTCCATTTGTCTGAGTCTTTTTCTTTGGTAGAGCCTAATGGGACCAGGCAGATGAACTATTTTATGCAAACAATTTGGTTAAAGCAAATTCACGATAATATGAATTATAAGATTTTTGTTTAATGGAAATAAACTTTAAAAGATTTCCACATTTATCCCCATTGTGGTTCTGGAAGCTTAATATCCTGTTCAGAGGTTAAAGAGTTTCAATAGCTCACACGATCCTGTAAAAATCACAACCGGCTGCCCTTTAATAAATAAAGTCATTGTAAAGAATTACATTTACAGAGTGAAAAGTAAATACATAGCATTTCAAATTCAATTTTGGAAGTACTAATAAGTACTGACCCATAACAATATACACTAGCTATCTTTTTAACTGTCCATCGTTAGCACCAATAAAGATTCAACAAAATTACCTTTATTCCCACATCTCAAAACAATTCTGCAAATTCTTAGTGAAGTTTAACTACAGTCACAGACCTTAAATATTCACATTGTTTTCTATGCTATACTGAAAATAAATTCGCTACTTTTCTGGATACTCTTTACAAAATCTTATTAAAATTCCTGGTTTTATCCCCAATTATACAGTAGCACAACCACCCTATGTCATTTCACATGATAGCTCTGTAGAGGTTTCACATCTAAAATTACCAAGAACAAAAACCCTTCCCTCCCTCATCTTGCATTCAGCTTAATTCTATACTAGTCCTTGGATTATGTACCACTGTAAAAGTATAACTGTATCAAAATTACCATGTTTATGGATACAATATTATGCCATACAGAGCAACAAAGTTACATATAATGACAAAGATTACTAATGTTATGCAAGACAATAACAAATGTGGACATGCTAGCTAGGCAAAGTCCCTACAAAGAGGCTGCTAGTTTCCCAAGTTCAAATAACATTGACAAAAATAATTAACAATTATCTTAAAAAAATTATAAGCTACTGGCAAATAAGGTAACTGCTAAATAAAAGTAGAGCACAAGATTAAACTCTTAATATTTACAACCACAAGATTTTTGAGTAAAATTACAATTGTGCACATATCAGTGGCTTTGTAACAAAAATAGTTCATATACACAGAGGAAAAATTAAGACAGTTTTCCGTTCAACAGAAGTTGAATCCAACCCATCTCAAAGATACTAAACAGCTCGAAGGTATACCACAGAATAAATTCAAGATTAGCCAATAAACAAGAGCCATACTACTGGTGTTCTAAGACAAAATTTAACCATGTTAAAGTCTATTATTCAATCAGGAGTCAGATGACTGTGCAAACTTTACCTCAACAGGAATATACTGAGATGTGCAAACAAATATAAAACCTCCACTAGAGTGGTTTGACTGGAGACTGAAGTTTTTTTTTTTCTTATAGAACTTTCTGATAACAATCATAAGCTGTAAGTACAGGTACAATGCACAGTCAGTGATCTTTTTATTGTTAGAATATAAAACAATTAAGAGAGCATAGGTTTCATTTCATTTTTATAAGGAAGACTGCATTTACCTGAAAAAAATATGGCATCACACACAGACACACTTCAGGGGAGGAGTATATTTAACAATACGGTGTAATTCTGAATGCTAAAGGTAAAGTGATCCTTGTTTACTGTTAAAATATGTAGTGTTAAAAGTTCTTTAAGGAAAAACTTACTAATTCTTCACTATGTAAGTTTTTGTGAATTTAGTTTTCAAATCACAGTAATCCACATATCCATTATTAATAGCTGTTTTGTAGTACTGCAACAAGCCAACAAACACTTAAATGCACTTCACATCAAGAGTATGTAAACTTTATTTTTTCCTCTTCAAGCCTTCAGAAAATTAGGGGTTATTTCAGCAGCCAATCTGGTCAAAACCTCTGAAGGCAAAAATTGAGTGCCTCACAGTATAGACCATCTGTGGCACTGCATACCCATCCGGTAGTGAAGTGTCCCCCTCTAATGGCTTCCAGTAAGGCCTAGAGTTTAAGGTTAACATGAAAAAGTGCCACCTTTGTTTTAGGTTAGTGATGGACTCTGACAAGAGAAAATAAAGTTATTCTGTATATTGTTATACTTATAAGCAGCTCCAATCCTGAGTATTTATGGTAATATCTAAACATACAAAAATGTATGTACATTTTTCTCCACTTTCTTGTAAACAGTTGTCAGCATACTGTTTTATCCCTTTATCATTGAAACATGCAAATCATACATACAGTATAAATACACAAAAGAAAACAATTTACACTCATTCAAAAGCCAAGCAACAAAAAAATAGCTACAGTATTCAAATTATAAATAATGGATGCTTGAGGCATCTTATATTCCTAGAAGCAGCCAGCCATTCATCTTAATGTTCTTAGCTGCAATTGTAGAAATACTGAGTTTTGCACCTTCCATGCTTTTACAGTATTTATAAACACTATCATATGTGGAGATAAAGACTTGTTTACTATAATCTCTTCTTTTCAGAATGAAGAATAAAGCAGCACTTACAAATTTTGAAGCAGTGGCAGCAACAGCAGGTGTTACCACTGCTAGATCAGGAGGAAGTTTTCCACTTTAACCATTTTTAAATTAAAAAAGTAAAGGAAAAATTGACCTAAACAAATGATTACATGTTCATTCCTTGGGCACTTAACAGCGAGTCCAGCATGTCGAATGTGTCTTTGTAGTCCATATGCTGGCTGTTTGTACTGTACTCGTGATTGGCATCAGGACCGTTGGTCTCCACTGGCTTCTTGTCCAGTTTCACGAGGGTGCTGAGATGTCCGTAGCCCACCTGGTATGTGACAGGGGGAGGAGGGGGTAAGGGATGGTTAAAAACAGAGTTGTGAGAGGATATATACTGCTTAACAGAGGAGGAAGAACTAGATGAACTACCTGAACTTTTGGAACTTTTGCTCATTTTGGAGTGATGGTTGTGAGAGGCATCATTGATATGCAGCTTCTTCCTTGAAGAACTGGAACTAGAGGAAATGCCATCACTGCTCAGGCCAACAGGACTCCTCAAAACAGTGGGTGGTATTCCATCAGCACTGTATTTACTGCCACTGCTGCTGCCACTATGTAAGTGGGAATGCTTGTGACTGCTTGCATGGTGACGGTTTGCAGGATGCTCCTTGTGCTTTTCCTTATGGTCTCTGCTAATATGAGGGCTTGAATGTTTGCTCTTCCCACTGCCTTCATCAGAAGAGCTGTGTCTTTCTGAGGATGAAACTTTTATCTTCATCTTCAGTTCTTCCTTACTGGTGCCTTTATCAGTGGGTGGTATTGGAATCCGTAATTTTAGTGATCCACTTTTTTCCTTTTTCTCTCCTATGAATTTTTCAGGTTTTTCAGTATTTGTGATGGGAATTTTCATTTTAATAGGAGAAGTTACAGAACTGCTGCTGGCTGCCTGTGACTGCATGTGTTTGTGTTGCTGCTCTACCTGGGCAGCTATATAATGATCCCTTACATCAAGATCTAGAGTTTCTAGCTTGCGTTTTTCTCTATATTTATCTAAAGACATTTTCTGAGGAATTACTCCAGGAGTAGCAGAAATAGGCCCATGGTGTTTACTGCTCCCTGCTTTATGAACATATTCTTGCTTAACAGAAGAATGATCAGAAATTTTGTCAGTTCTATGATGTAATCCTGAATGCAGTGATATTGAAGGTCCCTGCTGGAAGTTGATGTTGTATTGGCTACCAGACAAAGATGTCTCCTGTTTCTGTGAATAAATCGGTTCTGTCCTTGTTGATTCTTGATGCTGAGGCCATTCTTGGTGTGATGACAAACCATATGAGGTACTGGGCATTCCTGATGCTAGCACTGACAGATTATCAGATGTATGGCTGTCCTGAACAGATAAATTTCCTGAATTTAGAGGTACCGGTGTAGGGAATGCTGATGTAGATGGTTTCTGAAAACTTGGGTTTGTAGGCACACCTGTGACACTATCTACTAGTATTGAATTCTGGACCAAAGATGAGCCAAGAAGTGGTGTCTCTGAAACTTGTCCATCTACTTTTGGTTTCTTAGCTGCCTGATTAGCCCTCCAGTTTCGAATCCTCTTCAACCTACTAGGTGTTTTCTCCAATATTTGTAGAAACTCATGTGTTAGCTCATCTAGTAATTCTAGAGTAACTGTAGGATCCACATATTCCCACCAATGCTTTCCATCAGTTGACACAGGAATCTCCCAATTGGACCATTTGCAAGCCAAATGAATGCATACACATGCTATCACTGTTGGTTTGTACTGAAGACAGAAGGTCGTAAGATGTAGACTGTTGGTAGCCATGAAATAGGATGTCTGTGCCAAATCCTTGCTTGTACTTACAAATATCACAAGAGCGCCATCATTTTCTATACTACTGAAAATCTTCAACAACATTCACTCAAATGTTTCTTGCTATCCCCCAAAGATCTCTTACTAACTGGGTACATTTCACCACATCTGTGTGTGGGTGTTCAATGGTGATCTCAAAACCTAGTGTTTGTAGCATTATGGTTTCAAGTAAAACCAGTTCTTGAGTCTGCTGAAGGTAAGCATCACATTTTGTATCCAGCAGTGGCTCAAGAGGATGAAGACAAGCATGTGCCACTTTGATAACATGTTCAAGTTTTCGAGCTTGTTCTTCCACTTTTGCAGCCAAAAATAATGCAGTAGGTGATATTATATTTCTACTGAATTTGGTGAAAGAATGGTGCATATAAAACCTGTGCATATAAACAATCGCAGTGTTTATAGTAAGCTGAGAGACATTGAGACGCTGTCCCATGTCCTGGATGAGGTTGGCCGCCTGCTGGCGGTACGAGAGTTCTTTATCAGCCTCCACTCCGCAGCGGCGGCTCGGCGTGTTTTCCAGCTGTTCCCGAGTAAAGAACCAGCGAGAAGAACCTCCACGGCCCGACGCCATGACACTTCCTCCTCCGCCCGCTCCCTCACCCACCCCCCTCCCCTCCCGGCTCGCGGACTCTATCACGTGATTTTAATGGCTTAATTTAAATTAGGTAAACAGCTGTTGAGGATTGTTTTAATATGTGAACAAATAAGGAGGTTAACAATCTGTTTGTTTACTTTCACCTTTCCTTTTCATTAAATTTAATAATTCTGTTTAGGATAATGTAAATTGTTCAGAAAATTGTTTTCTTAGTACCTGTTGGAATGTTACATATTTTTTTTTTTAGCATCATTGTCAGAATTCCTATCTTCATCCCAGTGCTGGTGAAGACAAAGATGAAACCAAACTACAGCTTCTTCGATAGTTATCACAACAAACTGTATAAACTGATGCATCAATGAATAATAACTCAACAAGTAATGCTCAATCAAGGAGTCGATTTACTTTGGGAGGAAATGGACATATTGATAGATTCCTCTGCTTTGAACTGCTTACAGAACTTGCCTGGACTATGTATCACTTGTATGCATTGTGAACTATCTGTTGGTGCAGTGAATTGTGGTAGTGCTGGCATATCTTTGCTGATGGTGTCACCGGTGAACCATCAATTGTCTTGGTGTCATGGCATTTCTGTATCCTCCTCCCTTCTACTAGTGATGGTCTAAAATTTCGGGGCCAACAGAGGTGAGACAAAGAACCTCACCTCCCCCACTGGCACCAAGGCCAAATTTGGGGGCCAACAGAGGTGAGGCAAAGAACCTCCCCCTCCCCGCCACACTGGTGCATAGGCCTATCCACAGGTATGGCTGTATGCTGGACCAGTAGTCAGTGACGGGTATGATCCAATTGCAGTGGTACCAACCTAAGACAGGAGGCTGACGCCTAGAGGTCAGCTCATCCGATGACGGGTAAGGACCATATGTTGAATTGGACAACCTAACAGGCACGGTCCCTAAGCCACATTGCTTGTTGCTTAATTAAACAGAAGGGGGAGATGCTAAGAGCCATAGCCAAGTAGTAATGATGCATGGCATTTTTGGTTGAAAGGTGACGCCAGCAAGCCATTGAGATGATATGATTATGTTAAGATCTGCATTCAAATGGATATTAGACCCCTGCTGTCTGCCTCAGCCTGCTACTTTGGAGCTCTAGCGGGACTCCCGGAGAGCTCCCATTGGTTGGGGAAGTGCAGTAGGAGGGATTTATGGAGGAGGGATTTGCGGTTGGTGTGTGGGTCTGGGAGAACGCCGCGTGTGTGGGTCGGCATATTTCCTGGGAGCATACAGGGCACTGGCGGGAGTTTCAAAAATAAAATTTGTTCCTATTTGAGTGGCTCGTGATTTTTGTGCCCAGCCAGACTGCGGCAAAGCAGATACACTTTCTTCTCAGCAGCACATGGATCCTTCTCAAAAATAGACCATATATTATGTCACAGGGCAAATCTTAGCAATTACAAAGGAGTAGAGATACTACCATGCATTTTATCTGATCATAATGGAATGAAATTGGAAATCAATAATAAAATAAGAAAGAAAAAAATCCTACATCACATGGAGAATAAACAATATGCTACTGAATGAACAAAGGGTTACAGAAGACATCAAAGAGGAAATTAAAAAATTCTTAGAGGTAAATGAAAACTCAGACACAACATATCGAAATCTCTGGGACACTATGAAAGCAGTACTAAGAGGAAAATTCATTTCATGGAGTTCATTCCTTAAAAGAAGGGAAAGCCAACAAATAAATGACCTCACACTACATCTCAAAGCTTTAAAAAAAGAAGAACAAATCAGCAGCAAATACAGTGGAAGGCAAGAAATAATTAAAATCAGAGCTGAAACCAATGAAATCAAAACAAAAGAAACAATTGAAAAAATTGACAAAACTAAAAGTTGGTTCTTTGAAAAAATAAATAAGATCGACAGACCACTAGCCACGCTAACAAAGAGAAGAAGAGAGAGAACCCAAATTACTAGCTTACGGGATGAAAAAGGCAACATCATAACAGACAATTCAGAAATACAGAAGATAATTAGAAATTATTTTGAAACCCTATACTCTAGTAAAATAGAGGATAGTGAAGGCATCAATAAATTCCTTAAGGCATGTGAGCTACCCAGATTGAGTCAGGATGTTATAAACAACCTAAACAGACCAATATCAAATGAGGAAATAGAAGAAGCCATCAAAAGACTACCAACCAAGAAAAGCCCAGGACTGGATGGATATACAGCAGAGTTTTACAAGAACTTTAAAGAAGAACTAATACCAATACTCTACAATCTATTTCAGGAGATAGAAAAAGAGGGAGTACTTCCAAATTCATTATATGAGGCCAATATCACCCTGATTCCCAAACCAGATAAAGACACCTCAAAGAAAGAAAACTACAGACCAATATCTCTAATGAACATAGATGCAAAAATCCTCAATAAAATTCTGGCAAATCAGATACAAAAACATATCAAAAAAGATTGTGCACCATGACCAAGTGGGATTCATCCCTGGGATGCAAGGCTGGTTCAATATACGGAAATCAATAAATGTAATTCACCACATCAATAGACTTAAAAATAAGAACCATATGATCATCTTGATAGATGCAGAAAAAGCATTCGACAAAATACAGCATCTCTTTATGTTCAAAACTCTAGAAAAATTAGGGATAACAGGAAATTACCTTAAAATGGTAAAAGCTATATATGCTAAGCCTCAGGCCAGCATAATTCTAAATGGAGAAAAAATGAAGGCATGCCCTTTAAAATCTGGAACAAGACAGGGATGCCCTCTCTCACCACTTCTATTCAACATAGTTCTTGAAACACTAGCCAGAGCAATTAGACAGATGAAAGAAATTAAATGCATAAATATAGGAAAAGAAGAACTTAAATTAGCACTATTTGCCGATGACAAGATCCTATACCTAGCAGACCCAAAAAATTCAACCAAGAAACTTCTAGAACTAGTAAATGAATTCAGGAAAGTGGCAGGATATAAAATCAATACCAACAAATCAAAGGCATTCCTGTATATCAGTGACAAATTCTCTGAAATGGAAATGAGGACAACTACTCCATTCACAATATCCTCAAAAAAATTAAATACCTGGGAATCAACTTAACAAAAGAGGTGAAAGAGCTATACAATGAAAACTACAGAATCCCGAAGAAAGAAATAGAAGAAGACCTTAGAAGATGGAAGGATTTACCTTGCTCATGGATTGGTAGAATTAATATTATTAAGATGGCCATACTACCAAAAGCACTTTACAGATTCAATGCAATTCCCACCAAAATCCCAATGACATTTCTTGCAGAAATAGAAAAAGCAATCATGAAATTCATCTGGAAAAACAAGAGACCCAGAACAGCTAAAGTAATTCTAAGCAGGAAGAGTGACATTGGTGGTATCGCGATTCCAGATTTTAAACTATATTATAGAGCAATAGTAACAAAACCAGCATGGTACTGGCACCAAAACAGGCTGGTAGACCAATGGTACAAAATAGAGGACACAGAGACAAATCCACAAAATTACAACTACCTTATATTAGACAAAGGAGCTAAAAGCATACAATGGAGAAAGGATAGCATCTTCAACAAATGGTGCTGGGAGAACTGGAAATCCATATGCAACAAAATGAAATTGAATCCCTTTCTCTCACCATGCACAAAAGTCAACTCAAAATGGATCAAGGAGCTAGGAATCAGACTAGAGACTACGTGTCTAATAGAAGATAAAGTTGGTCCTAATCTTTATCACATGGGGGCATGCCCCAAATTTCTTAATAAGACACTTATAGCACAAGAGTTAAAACCAAGAATCAACAAGTGGGACGAGTTCAAACTGAAAAGTTTTTTCTCAGCAAGAGAAATAATATGCGAGGTGAATAGGGAGCCTACATCCTGGGAACAAATTTTTACCCCTCAAACATCAGATAGAGCTCTAATCTCTAGAGTATACAAAGAACTCAAATAGTTAAACAACAAAAAAGCAAATAACCCAATCAACAAATGGGCCAAGGACTTGAACAGAAACTTCTCAGAAGAGGATATACAATCAATCAACAAATACATGAAAAAATGCTCACCATCTCTAGCAATCAGAGAAATGCAAATTAAAACTACTCTAAGACACCATCTCACTCCAATAAGAATGGCAGCCATTATGAAGTCAAACAACAATAAGTGCTGGCGAGGATGTGGGGAAAAAGGTACACTCATACATTGCTGGTGGGACTGTAAATTGGTGCAGCCAATTTGGAAAGCAGTATGGAGATTCCTTGGAAAGCTGGGAATGGAATCACCATTTGACCCAGATATTCCCCTTCTCGGACTATACCCAAAAGACCTAAGAAGAGCATACTACAGGGACACAGCCACATCAATGTTTATAGCAGCATAATTCACAATAGCTAGAATGTGGAACCAACCTAGATGCCCTTCAATAGATGAATGGATTAAAAAATGTGGCATTTATACACAATGGAATATTACTCAGCACTAAAAAACAACAAAATCGTGGCATTTGCACGGAAATGGATGGCATCAGAGCAGATTATGCTAAGTGAAGTTAGCCAATCCCTAAAAAACAAATGCTGAATGTCTTCTCTGATATAAGGGGGGTGACTCAAAATGGGATAGGGAGGAAGAGCATGAGAAGAAGACTACCACTAAATAGGGAAGAGAGGTGGGAGGCAAAAAGAGGGAGAAGGGGAGTTGCACAGAAGATGGAAGGAGAACCTCATTGTTATACAGAATACATATATGACGTTGTAATGAGAAAAAGAAAAAAAAGTGTGTCACATTAGATTGGATAGAGAGAAAGGATGGGAGAGGAGGGGAGGAGTAGGGAGGATAGGAAGGGCAGCAGAATAGAATAGACAATATGATTGATGTATGTACATTCCATGTATGTATTATATATCAAAATGCATTCTACTGTTATGTATGACTAAAGAAACAAATAAAAACTAAAAAAAAAGAAAAAAAAATTTAGAGGACTGGGATATAAAATACCCAACAGATTTCAAAGACAATGCAAAAAAAATGAGTGTAAAGTATCTCATTAGTTAACTCTACAATATGATGATAATATTTGGAATATATTAGGTTAAATTAAATGCATTGTTAAAATTTAAAAAAACAAAAAACAAAAAAAACTAAAAACCTTTCCCAGTGCCAAAAGCAGAGTTAGTTGTTAGATTCTGACACAGTAGCCTGCTGTCAAGATTATAGAATAGTAAATGCTATAATACATTTCTAGTATATGCCGGACTTTTATATTTATTTTATACCTTTTTACTTTTATACCTTTTGACACTCTCTACCTCTCAGCTTGTTGGCATGTGATTATCCCCAAAGCTTAGAAATTGAGTCACTTGTTCAAAGTCGTACAACTAGTAAGTGATTGATCTAGGATTCGAACACAGATGCAACTCCAAAGCCAAGGTTTTCTATCATATGAAACTATATGTTGCACTTATACATCTTTATTGTCTCTTTCACTTAACTGGAAGCAACTCAAAATCAGAAAAGTCTTTTTTACATATACATCTCTGGGCCTGGAAGGCAGTAGACAGTCACAGTCTGGAAATGAATCGGTAAATGAACAAATGAAAGTTGAGAACTAAGAACAGAAATCATGGTGTGTCCAAAACAGGAATAAAACCATGAGCATTGTAACATAAATATGGGACAGAGTTGCTCAGATTTCATTGTTTCAGAGACCTTCCTCCCTTCCTGTTCCTGAGTCTTTCCACTCTGAGATGGAGCTTTTCATCTGCACCTGATAATTCAGCTCTTTCAGGTTCTAAAACCAATCCTACCTTTGTTAGGAAGATTTATGGAATCTAGCTTAGGGACTCAGGCTTGAGGATCAAATACAGCTTATTTGTGTTCCCCTCAAACCCTAGTTTTAGGGTGCAGATCTCTGCCTTGTGATGCTGTGCCTGTAGATAGCCAATATCTCACTCTTACACAGGAGTTTGGACTTTGACTAGTGCTGCCTTGAGAATCAGCCTGATCCCCACCTGCTGTGCACTCCCACGTGTCTGTCATTAGGCATGGATATGCAACCAAAGGAGCCTACCATCAATTCCTTGATTCCTATGGCCTGTTCCTTCTGTCTGAGCACTCTAGAACTCACTGCATCAGGCTGAGTCTCTCCAATGGGCTGCTGAGCCCTAGGGAATGCACCCACTGTTTGATCTTTTCCCTGCCCCTCCTATCTTTTCCATGACAGGGTCTCTTACTGAAGACACTTTTCTACACATTAAATTTCTTTTTTCTTTAATTTTTTTTTTATTTTTATATGACAGCAGAATGCATTACAATTCTTATTACTCATATAGGGCACAATTTTTCATATCTCTATATACAAAGTATATTCACACCAATTCATGTCTTCATACATGTACTTTATTTTTAATTTTTTTTTAATATTTATTTTTTAGTTCTAGGTGGACACAATATCTTTATTTTGTTTTTATGTGGTGCTGAGGTCTGAACCCAGTGCCCCAAGTGATCTAGGCGAGCACACTGCCACTTGAGCCACATCCCCAGCCCATACATGTACTTTAGATAATAATATCCATCACATCCCACCATCATTTCTAACCCTATGCCCCTCCCTCCCCCTCGGACCCCTCTGCCCTATCTAGACATTAAATTTCCAACTACATAAACATTTTAAATAGTCTAGCAATAATAGAACATAGAAGATCAGTGGATATGCATAAATTACAAGTATACAGGCATTTAGGAAATATACAATTTTAAAATATTTGAAGCTAAAATTTTTGTAATACAACAAATTTTACTCTCTATTGTAACTTTTCCTCCTTTGGTACCATCTCTTTCACCCATTTGGCTCTGAAGCTTATAATAACTATTTGATTCCTTTCCTCTTATAGTATGTCCTGTGAATATAATATGCATAATATCAAAACATAATATAAGGATCTTGCCTTGAAACAGAATGCAGATTACACTAGATTTATTTCAAATTTTCTAAAAAAATTAAATGGAAAACATGCAATCAATTTAAGCCTTTTCATTACAATCATGCATCATAATGACAAGGATACATTCTAAGCAATATGTCATTAGGTGATTGTGTTATTGTGCAAAAACCATAGAGTGCACTCACACAAACCTAGAAGGCACAGCCTATGTACACTAGGAGCACACTGTGTGCTCTACTTTAATATAATGGGTAGTGCAGTAGGTTTGTTTACACCATAACCACAAACGCATAATGCTTTGTGCTGTGACATTATGACAACTTTGATGTTACTAGATGACAGGAATTTTCCAGATCATTAAAAACTTAAGGGGTCACTGTCATGACTGCATCTGATATTCATTCATTATTCAACAAATATTTAATGAGAAACAGCAATTTGGAGAACATAAAATAGAAGAAAATCATTTTATCTGTTATCCAGAAACTTACCCCACAAACATTTAGCAAAATGTGAGGGTTGAAAAAAACTAAAACAAGATATGAAACAGAAATGCCTAAATAAGGAAGTGGGTGGTGAGAAGTAAGGTTGATTGGAGAAGGCTTGAAGAGATTTTTTAAAAATAGAGCACAAATACTATTTGGAGAATTATAAAATAAATAGTAACAACAACATAAAATTAAAACAACACTCCACCAAACCCAAAGAATCCCTCAGGATTTAAATATTAAAAGTCATAATAATTACTCACTGCTTCATTTTCTAATTCCCGACCAGCTCCTTTCAAACTCTGGAGAAAAAAGAGCCTTCTGCTTTTCTTTATTTCCTGCATTGGAAGCAACTCATTTTCATTTTGGAGTGTATCTATTTTTTACTAAAATGTAAAATTTTTCATTTAAAATGTGTCATTTTTATATCTTGAGTAATGATTTCAATGATGTCAACAGCATTTTCAGGACACTTATCTAATATGTCTTCATCAGCATATTAAAATATAATCATATCTACCCAAAAAGAGAAGATTCCATATTTTTTGGTAGGTTCCAGACATAACTTTTCTATGTTCATATATGACTACACAACCAGTGAAACTCCACATCATGTACAACCACAATGATGAGATCCTAATTAGAATAAGGTAAACTTCTTGTATGTATAATATGTCAAAAAAAAAACAAAAACCCTCTACTATCATGAAGAAATGCTGGGAGCCATTAGCCAAGTAGGTATGACAATTTCCTTGCCAGCGTACCCCATGTTGCAGTGACATTGCATGTAGGTGACCTTGCTCAAGGACCAGGGCGGATTAGGGTGTTCCCGGTTTAGGATAATTGGGTTTAGGGCGTTCCAGTTTAGGGCGTTCCAGGTTTAAGATTATTCCTGCTGGGAATAGGGCGTATCCTGCTGCCTGAGTTCCCCTTGAGTTCTCAAGGGATTCAGAGTATTTTTTGGGAGACAGAAGCCCAGTGAGAGTGGATTTGGGCAGAGAACGTGGATTTCCCCAGAACGTGTTTGTAGACGGCTGGTGTGAGTTCAGGAATAAAGAGTTGCTGTTTGAATCTACAAGCTGTGTGGTGGCTCGTGATTGTGTGCCCAGCCAGACTGCGGCAAAGAAAGAGTATTTTAAGAATCATTTCATGAAGACTCAGTTGGATGTTTAGGGAATTTCAATAACTTGAAATCCTAGATTTTTCAGTGAAAAATTTATACCATGAATGAACCAAACGTATCCTAGAACTTTCTTAGGAAACACCTGTAATATGATTTGTATGTTTAAGTTATTAAAGAAAAACATCATAGCAAGATACATATTCCACATGAGGTACATTGTCATATTTCATTTATGAAATTTAAATCGCTTGGTTATATATTTCTTCACTTTTGCCTTACCTTCTTTTCCACTCCCTCTTCTACTTTCTCTCACCAAATCCAATTTGATTTCTAAATCATGTCGATTCTGTCTTTAAGATGTGTTCCTTTCCTTTCTATCTCATTATTTAAGCCAATTATCTGCTCCAGTGAGTTAAGAACTACAAAGAATGAATTTCATATTGCAATCTTCAGCCACACATGACCAAAGACAAGTCATCAAATATTACTCCTCTTTATTAAATGTGACATCCCTAATATCTTGTTTTTAAAACACTGCTTTTGGGCTGGGATTGTGGTTCATTGATAGTGTGCTTGCCTACCATGTGTAAAGCACTAGGTTCATTCTCAGCACCACATGTAAATTAAATAAGATAAAGGTCCAATGACAATTAAAAATATATTTTAAAAAACACTGCTTTTTCTTTCACAACTGAATTAATGAAACTTCCTCTACCCTCTCAATAATTAGTTGCATTTTATACATAAATACTAGTGTATGTTTTTTCAAATCCCAGAATTGCAATGTGAATTTACTTTTAAGAAAAGTCTCTGTCAAAATACTTTCACATTGAAAAGAAACTCTTCTGTTCAGTGTGGATACAGGCATGAATTGCTTTTCTGGTGAATATGCTTTATTATTTCTCAAATTTTGTTTCTAATTATTTGTTCAATTAGACCTTCTGTCCCAGTGAAGTAAATTTAATAAAAATCATTTTCATTCATATGGTAAGTACCAGCTAATAGCCTTTATAAGTTCCCAGTATGTCATTTCTCTCAAAAAATATTTTAAAATCACCTTTATGCTCAAGGACTTACCACTTTATGTCATTCCCAAACAATTCTTCCTTGGTTTAGAGTGGCTCTTTCTGAGAACACTGAATTGCTGCTATAAAATTTTGTAAATTATATATTTCCTATTCAGAAACTGCATTAGGTTCTTCCATGGCCAAGATTAGAATTGTATTTTTTATTTATTTCCTCCTTTGCTAGAAAGAAACAAAATAAATATAAGCTCAATAATTGTCTATTTACTATTAACTGACCTGAGATATTATTTCTGAGTTTCTTCTTTAATGTGTATGTTTATCTTTGACCTTAAGACTGTCATAAGACATTCTGAATTTAGTTGTACAATGTTCCTGATTTCATACACCAAAGGCATGTCCTAATCTTTGTAGATATATATTAAAAATTTTATGATGTTCTGAAAAGAATCAATATAAATTCTTATAGCTTTTATTTAATTATTTTATTATCCAGTTATTATTCTCCAATTTCTCTTCATAGGGATTATTTCATAATAGCTAATTCTTGCATCAAATATAGTATAGGTAGTGTATTGTTCACATTGGTTATATTCTCATCATTTATTGATATTTAAGGGTCTTCTAAAAATAATTCTTCCACAGTTCCATTTCATTTGAAAGTTTCATATCAAGAGTATGAAACATATAAAATTACATGATTTCTATCACAGAGAATAAAAGAATTGCCTCTGATAATGTTCACAAACAAACATTTATAGGAAGAGATGTTGGCAAGGAGTAAGGATAGCCATAAATTTTTAATATGTTGAACATTTTTAATATGCTGAGCAAACCAAAGCAAGTAAAGTTCATGTCACAGAAAGAGAGAGAGAGAGAGAGAGAGAGAGAGAGAGAGAGAATATGTCACAAGAAAATATGCAGATGCTATTGGCAACCAATGTGAAAGGCAGTTCACAAATCTTATGTTTGAAGTATATGTTGTTCTGTTGCCCAAACATCACTGTTCTTGTTCTTCAACAGGATTGTTTTGACTAGGAGTTTCTTTAAAACTTTATCAACCTTGCCTAATTTTTATTTAGTGTTGAAACTCATGGAGAAGCCTCTAGACTAAAAAGATGGTTGTTTTGGGGGCAATAGCAGGGTTTTTAACTAGAGTGTTTGATTTGCTCCAGTTAGGAGCTAGGAAAATCAGACTCCAAGCCCAAAGTCTTATTTTATTTTTCAATATAATTTTAAGTTTCAATATAATGTCCATATGTGCTTTATTCATAGTTCTTCATTTATAAAACTCCCTGGATTTTGTCCTTTCCTTTGTGGGACACTTTTGGAAGTCTGAGCTTAAAGATGATGCACTAGTTTATCTGGTGAAGGAAATTTCAATACAACACAGCATTTAGATCACAGCATTGGTGTTATTGACTGATTTTGATGCATGGGATTGAAAAGCAAAAAGGAAGAGAGCACTGGGATTTGGGAAATTTTTAGCTTGACCAGAAAAGAAAGAGTACAGAAAGTTTCAACTAAAATGGGTATGGCAATGCTTCACACTTGGACAATAAGAAGGATTTCTCAAGAGCAGCCATCACAGGCTCTGAGATATAAAAATGCAAATTTGTTTCAAAAGTATTGCAGAGAAGAATCATTTGAGAAAAGAGCCCTAGGCCACCCTGAATGCCCAGGACTACTTAGAGAATCATTTCTCTATGTATAGCCAACTTGGTAGTCAGAGGCTGCCACATCTGTGGATCAAGCAAGCCAAGGCACAGCTCATAGCAGATGCAGACTTTGGCATTACACACATGATCTCATTGGGCAAGCAGACAGAATACAAGATGTATCATCATTGTAGCTTCCATTGAAATGTCAGAGGAAACCTTCGGGTGATGTCGGGCAATATCCAGGGTCAAAGTTTTGCAAGGAACTCAGTCTTGTGACAGCTACTCTCTTGAGACATGCCTGTGATTTCCGTGAAGTGTCTTGACACACTAGAACTATGGCTTCCATGTATGTGCCTGCCTGAAGGCAGATATGGCTTCCACATGTGCAAACCTAATTCTGCTAAAGCCCTAGCAACAAGGGTGTGCCTTATCTCTGTTGGCTCCTGCTATCTCCTCCATTCTAACCCCTCCTTCTTTCTCTATAAAAAGCCTATGTACGCAATAAGAGTTGCTGGGCCATTTCGGCTGACTCAACTCCGGACTCTGTGTGATTTTTGGCCAGGCGGGGTGGCAGAGGCCGGGTTGTGACACTCATCTCATTAAGCCCTGGGGACACTAGCTGGTCTAGTGCTCTCTGCTAATCTCCATCGGAGGGCAGTTCTGACAGCTCTGACAGCTGGTGCCCCATGTGAGGAGGGAACTTCGCTGATGAGCAATCAGTCTACGGGTGAGTGTACCCACATAAGTTATGGGGCAGTCTTCTTCAAAAAATGATCTCTCCCTTCAATCCCTCGGAGTTCTCCTTAAGAGTAGAGGTCTCGAGATTTCTGACACTCAGGCATTTAAGACCTGGGAGACTATGGTTAAGGCTGCTTCCTGGCTACCAGAGAGTAATTTATTTGATTGGGAGACCTGGGATAGGATTGAACAGCTGGTCAGAAAAGCCCAGGTTAATCGGGGTGAAATTCCTCCTCTTGGAGTTTATCCCATCCTGTCAGCCCTTAAGAGTTGTTTCCCTCCTAGTAGGTCGTGTTCCACACCAGAGGTCAAGGGCCTGCAGCTAAGGGAGGCACTCGGGACAAGATCTATTCCCCTAGGAGACCCTGACCACACACCTTCAACTGAAGCCAGTCCTAAAAGGGAAAGGGGCGATGAGGAGTCCGGGGAGAGCCAAAATGCAGGACCCTTGGACCCCTTTGATGCTGCTCCATGGCCTCCTAGACAGGGAAATTCTCTCCACCCTCCATTACCTAGTTCTGAATCCTCTCAGAACCCTTTTAAAGCATCCACCAGCAGCCCTGGCAGGTCACCCTCTGCCCTTCCTCCACCATATCTGAACTCCGGACCGAGGCTGTACTCCCTTCTAAGGGCTCAAAGTCTCCTACCGGTTGCTGGCTCCACACGGAGTCAGAACCCCGCTCACAGCTTAGTTCAGGGCCATATCAATTATTTCCTGTTAATATTAATCCAGGTGGTAATCGCCCTGCAGCCTGGTATCCCTGGGATCCAGGTGATCTCAAGGAGTTACTTCAGGGCTTTGCCCATCAACCATGCACCTTGGCAGATTGGAGGGCTTTGGTCCTGGCGATTCTTCCTACCCCAACAATGGGCAGCCAACTCCTTGTTGTTTGCCTCACTATGGTAACCATGGGGTGCCTGGCGGAAAGAGCAAGTTTCCTGGTCCCACCTCCCACACTTTCGTGGGCTTCTAATTGATTCTTCCACAGTCACTCAGACAGAACTTCTAGTCCCGCCTTCCAATCACTAACCTGTATTTTCTGTTTCAGATTGCTTCCAGAGCTGCCCAGAGCCCATATTTTTAAGAATGCCTATCTGTAAATGCTAACGAAAGATATTTTTTCAGACAAAATTTAATTCCACAGGTTTCTATGTTGCATCCCTAAATTTAAGTTAGTTCTGAGTTAAATAACCTGACTTTTGGGGCTGGGGAGGTGGCTCAAGCGGTAGCGCGCTCCCTGGCATGCGTGCGGCCTGGGTTCGATCCACAGCACCACATACAAACAAAGATGTTGTGTCTGCCAAAAACTAAACTCTCTCTCTAAAAAAAAAAAAAAAAAAAAAAAAATTAAAAAAAGATAACCTGGCTTTTCTTATAGTTGTGTTACTAAATAATCTATTAATAAGAGATATCTAACATGCTTGTTTGTATTTAACTTTAATTTTGGAGGTTATGGAGATGCATTTGCTCGCCACAGGAACAAAGCCAGCAATGTTCCTGTAATGACCAAAAAAAATCCTTATTCTAATTCCTGACTATAAAAAATAAATATGTATACACAAGGATCTTATTTCAGTTACATCAAGTGACATCACATAAAAGAGTGCACTCCTAGGTAAAAATAAATTGAAATGGATCCAAGTATTTTAAAAACCACGTGATTACATAAAGTTAATACAATTATAAGTTATGTCCTTATTCTTAATATAATCTGTAAAATAATTAGCACATGTCTAATTGTTTAGTTAATATATATTTGCCTGTTTTTTTAACAGAAAACTCGTAATTTATATGTTTTATACGTACATTCATCAGATACTCTGCCTTTTCAGTTACAGATATTTGAGATAAATGTATTTACTATAAATTTGCTTTTAAGTGAAAATACAATCTTCAAGTAGTTTCTAATTCTCAAAGTTATTGTTCAAACTCAAAACATGATAAACAAATATAATTCTTTTTTATTTATTCATTTTTTTATAATTAGTTGTTCAAAACATTACATAGTGCTTGACATATCATATTTCATACATTTGATTCAAGTGGATTATGAACTCCTATTTTTACTCCGTATACAAATTGCAGAATCACATCGGTTGTACATCCACGTTTTTACATACTGCCATACTAGTGTCTGTTGTATTCTGCTGCCTTTCCTATCCTCTGCTATCCCCCATCCCCTCCCCTCCCCTCCCCCCATCTTTTCTCTCTACCCTAACAAATATAATTCTGTCTACAAAATATCTAAGGATTTAAACTACATTTTAATTGATATTTCTTATCAAAGTACAATAATTTGTTTATAGATTCTAAGGTTTCCAGAAATTATTCCAAAGTATAACCAGAAAAAAAATTCTAAAAGAAAAAGATGCTTCAACAAAGAGAAAGCACACATTGGATCCTAACAGGCAGAGAGAAATCAACATGCTACTCCTGTAGTTCCCCTTACCATGGGGATGCTCGCAGGGACTGCAGAACAATATGCCTCAGGGATACAACAAGCTGCCATTCCCCCCCCCACTCACTCCTCTCTTCTGTCAGTGCCCACACTCAGACCCACCAGGTCCTCTTACCAGCTAACTCAAAACTCAAACAAGCTGAGTAGAGCCCTCAGACCCCCGTATCAGAGACCTGATGAAAATGGCCTTTAACATTGCTTTGTCATCACTGAAAACAGGTTACTAAGAATTAAAGTCCCTTACAGGCTTTTTGGGATATTCACTCTGGTCTTCCCCTCTGCTCTACCTGTTCAACTGCTCAAGTTTTCCTTGCTAGGAAAATCCCAAACCACTTTCCCATTATTCTTTTACATCTCCTTCCTCATTCTCAGATCCACCAGAGCTGCTCTCAGCCCTGCCTTCCCCGTCTTCCCCCTCCCTACCCAGGCCCACAAAAAGTCTTAACTGACCTTCTCCAGAAATCTTCACCATGGCTGATTTTAGGACTTTCAGCAAAAGAATCCCTATAAAAGAGTTCAGTGTAGATAAACTTCCTTTTTTCGTGTTGCCCTGTTTTACTTGGCCACTGGCTGGAAAAATCAGTGCTCCAAAAGCTAGACACTCCCTTACTAGTTTTTCACAAAATATGTAAATAAGGCCTCTGGCCTTGAGCTGGGCTTCACAGTGATGGCTACATTTCTAAGATAAGGGAGTTATCAACTAGGCTCCATGGTAACAGCTGGCAGGATGAGGAAAGAAAGGAAAGAAAAAGCTCTCCCCCTCCCAGTGTCCTTGAAAAGTTAACTTGCCCAGAACAGAAATAAAACAAAAAACAATAAACAAAAACTGCTTTTTGTCAACAGAGTGATATTGTTTTGTCTTGATCCATCATGGCCACAGAGTGGTCTTGTCTAATCCTAACGTTATGTAAGATTGATTATGTTTAATAGGAGAACAACCAGACTTTGTCATGAGTAGCAGAACAATTTGTCTGATAAAACTGGCCTCATACTCACAGCAGGGCCTGGCTGACAGGCCCCAAAGACGAGACAAGATACTGGAAGATAATATACTTTCTTTAATATGAAGAGAAAAACTGGGGACAACCCCAAGGACATCACATAGGGCAGGTATTTCCCCAGAAGTAAGTACTACAGTCTTAGCTGATGTTGCTGATGATTCTCAAATTACATCAAGGACACCCAGCACCATGAGTGATGCAGAGAAGTGAAGAATCTCCTTACATAAGAAGATCCAATTGAAAAACTTGAAATGTGAAGGATGAACAGCTTAAAAAGAAACCATGAAACCTTGATATGGCATTCCTGCTCCGTTAGATGGCTTTTTGCCACTGTGATAAAATGTTTGACAAGAACAGCTTAGAGGAGAAAAAAATTATTTTAGGCTCGTATCTTCAGAAGTTCAGTCTATAGTCTCTTATTTAGTATGAGAAAACTGGTGCAAACTCAAAAAACTGTTGCAAAGGGCAGAGGTTATTTCATAAAATGGGACAGTCTAGTGAATAGGTTACAACTCTCATAATCTAATCATTTCACCTCTGAGCATTCCTGTATTGACTACTGCAATGAGCTTATTGGGAGACACCTTATATCCAAACCGTAATACCAGCCTAGGAATTTTGCTTCAGTTTAAGTAGGATGGAGTGAGGGAGAAAGGAAGCTCCAAGTGTCCTCTATAACATAAAAAGATTGCAAGCTAATCATCATCTTTGTCATAGTTGATGAACCAATATTGATACAGCATTTTTAACTAATGTCCACTGTTTACATTAGGGTTCATTGCTCATGTTGAATTTGTTTTATAGTCTGGACAAATGCATCATGAGTCCAGCATTCAAAGTTCATACAGAATAGTTTCAGTAAAAATCCTATGTGCTCCACGTGTTAACCCCTCTTCCTTAACCCAAACCTTGGAAACCACTAATCTATTCACTATTTCTATTGTTGCCCTTTCCAGAATATGCTATAATTGGTATTACACAGTATTTAATCTTTTTGGACTGATCTTTTTGCACCTTTTGCATTTAAATCTCCTCCTTGTCTTTTCATGATTTCATAGCACATTACCTTTTTCACTAAATAATATTCACATTATTTATGAACAGAACCAGTTTTATTTCTTTCTTGTCAACAAGTATACATTTGATTTCCTTTACTTGTGTAATTGTATTACCTAGACCATGTAGTACAATAGGAGTGATAAAGGCACATTCTTACTTTTCTGTTAGGATAAAATAACTTATTTTTCTACCATTAAGTACAATGCTAGATGTAGGCATTATTTTTTAAAGGTATTTATTATAAAATAAAGTCCCACTCCAATATTAAGTTGCTGGAGTTTCTTTTCAAAATGAGCGAGCATGAGATTTTGCTAAATACTTTTTCTATATTTACTGATAAAGGCATAATTTGTCTTCATAAAAATAAAATAAAGGTATTATGTCTACCTACAACTAAAAACTAAATGTTTAAAAAAATTTTGAGACTAAAATCATGTCCTTTTATTTCTATTTACTTATATGGGTATTTCCTTAGAATAATGACATTATCTAAAATAAACATAATACAATTATCAAAAGCAGGAAATGCAACATTGATGCAGTTCTATTATATAAACCACAAATATATATTTTAAAATGTTCAGTTGTAACAACAATATCCTATAGATTTTTTTTCTGTGATAGGATCAAATGCAACATCATGCATATTTATTAATTTATTTATATTGTGGTCTTGGGTATAGAACCCAGGGGCACTGTAACACAGAAGTACACCAGCAAGCTCTTCTATTTTTTATTTTGAGACAGTGTCTGACTACCCTTCCTGACTGCCCTCAATCTTGCAATCCTCCTGCCTCTGCCTCCCAAGTCACTGAAATTACAGGTGTACACCATTGTGCCAGACTATGCTTTGTATTTAATTGTCATGTCTGGCTAGTTTCCTTTATTCTCAAATCATTTCTGTCCTGCTTGCTTACTCCTTTTGGCATTGTTAAAAATAGTATATGGCATAATGGGTATTAATGAGTTTTTCTGATGTTTACTCATGATAGAATAAGGTTGAACTTTTTGACAGGAATGCCCTGAATTCAATGTGCTCTCAGTGGTCAACAGGAGAAATGTAGGTTGGCTTAATGTCAGTATTAGGGATGCTACTTTGATTAAATTGGTTAAAGTGGTGTCTATCTGGGTTTTACCTAGTAAAATGACTCTTCTGCACTTTATTACATAAAAATTAATTATTTGACAGTACATGCTTTGAATACATGTAAATAACCTCTTCCTCATTCAAGCATTCCCTCCCATTATTTCTTCTATATTTACTTCTTGATATTTCAGTCCAAAGAGATATTTTTCCTTCTCACATATTTAATCATGCCTTCATTTTTACCAGTATCCATCGGAGATATTTTATCTACAGACGTGAGGCAAATCCATCCCATCATCTGTTTCTATATAGTCTGTGAAGGAAGAATGACTTTCCTTCATGAATGGAAAAGAATTAAAATAATTTTTTTCACATAAACATTATATGAACTCTAAATTTCAGTGTAATTTCATGAAGTTTCATTTTCAAAATGTTATGGTCATTCATTTAATATGTCTCTGATCACTTTTGTATTACATAGTCAGTTTGAGCAATTGTTGCAGAAACTACACCTGGCTGTCTACATGAACATTGCTTTGCACTGTTGCTTATCGCACTACAAGTCACAGTGATGTCATTGTAACACAACAGTGCTTCATGTGGCAGGTGTTTTGTCATACCCTGGTAGTTAGTTAATGTTTTAAAATCACCAGTGCATACTCAGTGTGTAAAAGCTAGAAGAGAAAGGTGTATTATGAATATTTTTAAGGAAACACGGAGTGTGGATTACCTTTTATTAAGGAAGTTGGCAAAGCACCCATTTGGCTATCAAATGCTAAAGAACATAGTGTATATCACCATTATCAGATTAAGCAATCATCACAATATTCCCAAGTCACAAGAAAGAAATGTTTAGAAACATTTAGAAGCTTAAAACCCATCAAATTCCAAATTCTTAGTTTTGCAAATATTTCAACACAGGCTACTAAAGTTATTGAAAGTGTTATATTTTTTGCTCCATTTAAGCTTTTATAGGTGTTCCACATCTGATAGGATGGGACAAAATATTAAACATGGTTTCATAGATTCAACATCAGAAAATAGTCTGCCCTGCTTGACTATCAAATGAATCACTAAGATGTTGACTTTGATTACAGATTCATTTTCTTTTTTTTTTTTTTTTTTTGGTAAAAAAAATTTAATGAGATTTAATGGGTGAGGCCTACTAAAGAGTCTAGTCTTTGGAAAGAGGATATAGTAATACTTTTTAAATGCATGTTTTTTTTACAAAAAAGAAAAGGAAAAATGAAAATGATGCTGTAAACAAACTTCTCAGTATTCATTTGTGAGTCAAGCAAGGTAGGCTGTTTCCTGCTGTTCATTCAAGTAAATGAACTTTGATTAAAGCAGTTGAAGACATGTGCCCAGAGAAAATAAAGTTGCCTAACATCACACTCCCCTTCCAAAATGAGTGCACTCTAATTTTACTACACATGTATTGACAAGAACTGTTATAAATTAGTGTTATCTTTGCATCTGTTAAAAAAAATTAGGGACTTTTTTTCTTTCTTGTTGATAACATCTGAATACTATTTTGTTCTTGCCCCTTGTCCTGAAAGGCCTAAAACTTTTAATGTATGTCTCAGCCAGTAAGGTTTGTCTTACCTTTATATAAACTCACATTTCCTTATTGTACTGAAAAGGTTGTGATCTATTCTATGATTATGTATTGCAAAATTCGAATTGTTCTTGAAGTGGTCAGATGTGATACCTGCAAGCTGGCTCTGGTGTCCTTTTGACTTTTTCATTATTCTTTGTGTAAATCTTTACACTGTGGTACAAGATGTCCCACATCTATCCTTTCCTGCTGCACCTCTGCACTCAGCCATTGCTCTGGATTCCTCTCAGGCCGCCTTACTTGCTAGATGCACATAACATCTAGCAAGAAGGGAAGGGAATCAAAACGCTGCCTCTGCTCATGGAAGCAGCTGTCTTATTCACTTGGCTGTTATTACTGACTGGTCTAGATGTCTCACAGCTGATAATTATTGGGAGTCAGGGAGAAAAAGAGGGAAGAGAGGAAGGCAAAAGATTCCAAGAACCTCAAAAGACCCCCTTATACATTCGGTTCATTAAAATTTGTATAATAAAAGAAATTCTTATTGAGCCTGTCATAATAATAAATAGAATACTCCTATTGATTTCTACTTTTCATGCTGTATTTATTTTCACAAAATGGACTATTTTAGAAACTCTAATTTGACAAATATCATGAGGAATAAGAGACATCTTTAATATTTATAAACTGAAATTAGCCTCAGATTACACACTACTTTCTAACCAGAAGGAATTTTATTTTGAAAAGATTCAAGATCTCTCCTAGGTTCAAATTCTGTATGTAGTGGGAACTTGAGAATCAATCATTAGATAATCATTATCTAAGAGCAGAATTTATGAGCAACAAAAGACTGAGGAATGACTCAATTTTTCATGAGAAATGTTAGAAAGACCTGAGATGAATCATAGTTATTTGTGGAAAACAAAAAGCTAACATCTATCATTAAAATGAATAACGGCACATTGATTAGAAAAGGCAAACTCTATGTGCACTGGAAAACAAATTTATGTTCTTTTCGAGTTTATATAACCCACTTGTAACTTTATATAACCCCTAGAGCCTTCTGTAGCCACTGCCAGTCAAACAACAGAAGAAACAAACTGGGTGAGATTATGCAAGGAAAGATCTTAAGAATGATCACCAGCCCCTGAGATGGGCTGGAAAGACAGACTTAACCATCATTCAGGTACAAGGAAGCTGTCCTTGAAGATTTCGAATGTGTCTTTGTGTTTGTTTCATAATTGCTGTAATTCAGTAAATGTGCCCTCTCTTCTTCTGAAATTTTTAAAGTATCTCCAAAGGTTTGATCCCTTTAAAAAAAACCTGGGATAACCTGATATGCTTTCCCCAGTGTCAACAAAATCTTACCCAATTTATAAGAGCTGAGTTGCTCAGTCAGGTTCTAGAACACTACTCACTGGCCAAAACAAACTCCATAGGGACTATTTATTCCTCAGTGACACAGCAGTTCCTGTCAGCTTAAAATTTTTGTGAGAGCTGATTTTCCTTCAGCAGCTGATCTCAACAGTGAGTAATAACAGAATAGTTTCTGAGCCATTGTCAATTCTCATCCTGTTTTGCATGAGAGACAAATATCTGTATTGACCTCCTTTTCTCCCTAATTATCTATGAACACCCCCACCCCTTTTCTTTCAGACTTCCATGAAGGAATAAGAAGGAGACACAGAAAGGCTTGCTACTTACACAATTTCCTTCTCCTACATGCATCAAAGACATGCAAACTATACTGAGTAGCCAGAGGGCACCTACCTGAATCCTCTTCACATGCAGCTTTCTCCTTTGCTTCTGTGATACCAGAGCTCTCAAAATTTTCTCTCCCCTCAGACTGACAGTTGAGTGACTAAATAGAAGAATTCGGAATGTTTGTAGATGCTGCCTGATGCTCTTTCTCATCACTCATAGTTTCTGGAACCCTTTGTGAAATTTCAAAGGGTGTGTGGATGGTGTTACTAGCTGTTAGGAAGGATGTGGTAGGGATCACACTTCACTTTTGGCTTTCTCCTCAACTTATATCTCCTACTATGGGCTTCTCCATTTATCCATGTGATGCAGTATAAATTCTCCCTCACCACAATTTGAAGGCTGAATTCTCCAAGGTTTTTCCTAGGAAATGCAGGATGTCAATATCAAAATAGCTCTCCATCTGCCTGCATTGAAAACACTCTTTTGATGCATCAGCCCAGCTCTTCTGTCCCCAGGACTCAATATTTCATGTTTCCTAGATGTCAACTTAATGAGGGGAAACCTCTAGCAGCTTAGTAGGGCCTTAATTTTATCTTTCATTTGGTAGCCAAGAAACCAATCATGAAGGCATCACTCAGGTGAGTCTAACATTAATCATTTTCTGTTCTTATTCTGGAAAAGACTAAACTCTGAATTCCTCCTATTGATCAGGTAACTTGGATTGTTTGTAAAGAACTCAATGTTATTTCTTGACATACAATTTAAACAAAGCCATATTTGCAGCTTTTTAGCAAATTCAGTTTCTTGGCATGCACAGAATTAAAAAAAAAACCCTGAAATCTATATTGATTCTAAATCTACTATTAGAACTTATGGGATTGTCTCAATCATGTAACCTTCAAGGAAAGATTTCTCAGGAAGAGCAAATAGAAATGCTTGGCTGGTCTGAATTTTGTAGGTATTTTGACCATGGAAATATACATGGAAGCATTCCTCTTGTGAGCACACTCAGAGAGGGTAACTGGAACTCTGTTTCCCACCCTTAGAATGCCCTGAAATTTCTCCTAGGAACTAGTAAGATAATGAATACATGTGCAATGTGTAGCTGCTGTGGCAATGCCCCTAGAGTCTTATTAGCCTAGACCTTGATCTCAGGCACACAGCTCCTGGGACAAACACAATGTTTCACTGAGCCTAAACCTCTCCACATAACAATAACTTTATACAGTGGACTTTCTTGAGAGCTACATAAAACACCTAACATTGCACATTGCAATTTAGTATGTAGCTGAGGATTAGCTGCATAATGTTGCTAAGTCTGTAATACAATGAACAATATGTACTAATGATGCCAATGACCTGAAGTAACCTATGGATATAAATAAAGCTGGCAGCTTGGCCATTCTGCCATCTTTCCTCCCTTTGCATCTTGCCTCTATGTCTCCCTTTTTGTTCTCATTACAAAATTTTAATAATATTTGTCTTTACATTGTTTGCTTTCCATTTTTGTTTTAGTTTATTATTGAGATTCATATGATTTCTGATTTTAAAATCTCCTACTGTAAACTATGATAACTTTCATGAAGTAACTTGTAACTACGAGGGCAGCATTTCTGAAGTAACAACAATTTAAAGAGCAAAGCATTTTCATTTTTCACTTTCAACAGCATCTCAGTTCCCTAATTCAGAAGTTTCTTTCAGACCCAATGAGTTATGCATACTCTAGAAAAACATTAGAAATAAAAGAATATCCATTGAAGAATTTCTTATTTCTACAACAATCAAAAAATATAAGCAATAAAAATGTAAAACACTAAGAATTTCTGGATAAAAAGTATGAATTCTCTGGCCAAATTATCCCTTCTCCAATCTTTCCAGTTCAGCTAGCTGGACAAGTTTAAATAATTTGGTTGACTTCTCTGAGTTAATTCCTCTTCTCTATGTTGAGGATCATGGTATCTGTTCCTCATGGACCTTTAAGAAGAGTTGTCTCACTTTTCAGCATTTCTGCTGCCTCATCTTTAAAACACTGATGCTAGCAATACAGCAATGTTGGTGTTTTGTGACGTTTTAAATCATTCATATATGTGCTGTGCTTAGTGTCATTAATATGTTCATACACATCAGTCATTGCAATAGTGCTAGGCATATATTGACCACTCAATAACTATTATTCACTTCTAAAATAACTTGATATTATATGTTTGCACTTGTAGGTGAAAAATTATGGACAACACAAAGGAATACTTATTTGAATTTAAAGGCTACAATTTTGAAAGGTCTTTAGTTAAAATGCATATAGTACGAAGTGCAGATGATTTTGAAATTAGAGATGATGATGTCTTCATAGTTACCTATCCAAAATCTGGTAAGTGTAAAGAGTGGCCTCATGATAGTAGATTTTTCCTAAGTTTGGTGTGTGTGTGTGTGTGTGTGTGTGTGTGTGTGTGATTGTGTCTCTGTGTATGTAAATGTGCTCAGACATCAACAGCAGCCTGACCTACATTTATATATCCATTAGGAATCAGAAAAAAAGTTAGCTAAATCTCAAATCTATACTACCAAAGCTCATTTGCAATAGATATATTGTCAATTCTGTTAAATATATATATATATATATATATATATATATATATTTCTTTATATATTTATATATATTTATATATATATATATATATATATATATATATATATATATATATATATATATATATAAAGAAACCAAATACTGAGCCATGAGCAGGTACTGGGTAAAGGCTGACCTGTTGGCTTGGTCTGTTGGACAGACCTGAGACAGTCCAAACTCATCTTTTCTCTAATTTGTAAATGCTTCCTGAGTTGGAAGATTTATCTTCCATAATTATACATGTTCCAAGATGTTTCATTTTCTTGAGAAGTATTCCATGTCAGCTGAGTTCCACTGAAGATTCTCAAAAACGTTTTCAACCAGTAAGTTCTACTAGAAAATGAAATAAGAATGATTTTGAGATTTGTGAAGATAATCATTACAAAGAAGTGGTAAAACACAATCCTGTTGGGCTAAACAAGTACTAATAATAGTAATAATGACTTCTACTTCAGCAGGGCGGGATACTTGGCTTGGTTTGAGTTTTTATAGTTGCCCATGCAGACTAAGGAGTAAAGCTGTAGTTATTAAGATTTTACATACAATGTTTTGCTTATTTATAGTGTGGTTTCCCAAGAACACCACAAAGAAGTTGATCATACATGATTAGGCCAAACAAGTGAATAAAATGATATATATATATACACACACTCATGTCAAGTTCTGCTATTTCCTGACATCCTTGGATGCTTAAATAGTTTACAAAACCACCTTACATGGTAAAGAGAAAAGGAGGGGAAAGTGAACTCGCTATAATTTTGTTAATTTGTCTATAATTCTAAAGGGTAAAGTTCTGAAAAAGGAATTTCATGAAAGAAAAACAGGTACCCACAAAATATAGTCAAAATGGACTCAGTAACCAATAACATATTGTAAGAAAATACAGAAGGAATAAGCTCGAAGACTCCAAACAGAAAGAAATGACACAGAGAAGGAAATGCTAATTTCCCTGATGTGATAGTACAGGGTGTATGCATGTGTGGAAATACCACACTCTACCCCATCAATATGTAGAATTATTATAAGTTAAGGAAAAAGTTAAAAACACGAAAAAGGACCTAACATGGAGCAGGAAACAGAGAAGGAGAGGCAGAATTAATCTAAATCATTACTATCATGGAATCAGAACAAACACAGCTCTTCAAGTGACAAAGGAATTTAGAGTCTTTGATTTTATCTTTATTAACTTTAAAGTTTCATAGAGACAAAAATGAAAGTTGGACAAAGTTGTTAGCATACTTAGAGTGTTTAAAAGAAAAGAAAGCTCAAATGATTATGGTGAATGACACTATTGTTGACTTAATTTTTAATGACTAATTGAGTTTGAAAACAAGATGATTTATTTTTTCAGGTACCGTCTGGACTCAGCAGATACTAAGCTTGATTTATTTTGAGGGGCATCGTAACAGAACCGAAGACATCAAAACAATAGATAGAGCTCCCTTCTTTGAATACAATAATCATAATTTGGACTTTACCAAAATACCATCCCCTCGAATCTTCAGTTCTCATCTTCCATATTATTTAGTTCCAAAAGGTCTGAAGAACAAAAAAGCTAAAGTATGTCATAGAGCCTAGTCTCTCTCTCTCTCTCTCTCTCTTTTTTTTTTTTTTTGCAAAAGCAAAATAACCGGCTTTAAGTAGATTCCCCAAATTATGTTTAGGATATTGCCTTCCACAATAAAAATATATGAATGTCCTAAAAACTATGCCTGTAATAAGCAATTGTGGATATAATTTGCAATTTATTCTATAGCATATAACAAAAATTCTTTCACATTAGCCATAAAATGCCATTCTTTTTTATGATTTCATAGAATTTTATTGTGTGGCTTTGCAATAATTAATGTGTATTTGATGGACAGATAAGTTTCAGCCAATGGATGTCTTGTGTTGTCATAAACATTCCTATAAAGACTTGCACTTTATTTCTCATGCCATGTTTCAATTAATGTGAAGTTTTCAAATTAAAATGTCTAATATTTTAAGTGTTGACAGGGATTACCTACCTGCTTTTTATAATATATGAATCATACTTCATCAAATACCATGTAGGAATGCCTCTGTCCTCACATGCTTACTAATAATGGGAATTTTCAAATTTGCCTAATATGCTAAGTAAGAAAGTAATCTCATTTTTGAGCAAATTTCACTTTCAATTTTAATAAGATTATCTTTTTATATATTTAAATATCCTTTTTATTTTTTGCCCCTGTGTCTTTAGGTTGTCTTATTTACTGTTTTGTGGAATATTTACTTGGGGCAGTCTTCCCCTTTAAAAAGAAAAGACTTTTCTGAAAAACGGTTTAAAACTTTTAACCTTACGTAACCCAACTGTTAATACTTCTTTCCTGACTTCTGGTTCTGGTGATTTACTAAGAAAACACAACACCAACAACAAAGATTATGTAAATACCCTCCTAGCTAACATTATTTTTAACCTTTTTTGGGGAGGTACATGGGCTTGAACTCAGGATCACTCAACCACTGAGCCACATCCCCGGCCCTATTTTGTATTTTATTGAGAGACAGGGTTTCATTCTTTCATTTCATTTCTGTGGTTATATATTTTCAGCACCTCTCTTTTTGAGGCTGGCTCTGAACTTGTGATCCTCCTGTCTCAGCCTCCCAAGTAGCTGGGACTACAGACTTGAGTCACCAAGCCTGGCTATATTAAAACCTTCTTAGGATTATAAATTAAATCTTATACTACTTATTATATGAGATATGAATATTGCATTATACTTGTCCCAAGAGATACTAATTGACACAGAATATTTTCTTAAATCTTTGACTTGAGTATCTCCACTATTTTGAAGTCTATATATTGATATGCTAAATTTTCATTGTCTCTCTCTTCAGTGTGCAATCTTTATTCCAAAAATAGGCACTTCTGCTGATTATGTAGCAGTTCTTCCTTGTTTTGTACATTTTAACTGACAAGGCAAAGTTTTCTATCTACTTTTTACAATATAGTGTAGTTCCACAATGCTTATCAAATGTGGATTTTAATTTAAGAGAGATTTTTTTCTGGGAAAACAAACATTGCAATATACCAACATTCTTGGAGCTTCATTCTATGTCTCTATTTTATCAGGTCTACTTTAATACCATCAATATGTATTATTCTTTTTACCCACTTGTAGATATTTAACATTGAAAAAAGTATAACTTTTTAATAATCTCATCAATTTACTCCAATTTTGTGGTTATATATTTGCATTCATGCTGCAAAGATAAAAATTTTATATTCTCTTATTTTTAGAGTTTTCAGGATATAACGAGTTTTCTATTTTACTGGGTTTTCACCCTCTGAGGAACTAGCTTTTTTTCTGGATGTATACTTCCATTTTAATTATTATCTCATTTTAGTATATATCTTTCTATCTTCTTTAATTAAATGTTCAGTTTACCTATTTCCAGTGTTTATATTTGTCAATATTAACATTTTAAAATGAATATCACTTTTAGTATAACTATGGATATAATTTTGTTAATGTTTAAAACTCTGTTATTTCAGTTTTACTTTTATAATTGGTTTCAGCTCTCTTGAGACTTTTTTAGTTTAAAAGTGTTTGTATAGTTTTCTATCATGGGAAATGGTGTTTACATATTCTAATTTTTGGATTTTATTTAAAAGTTAATTGTCAATTGCATGATCAGTTTTCAAACATGTAATATGTTTCATACATGAGAAAAGGAGATAAACTTTCTGTGTTGGGTACTTATACAGATTTTAAAAACTAAATAAAATAAAATGTTAATAATCAATTTTATAAATTTATTTTTGCTTTTATTGTTAGGTTAAAGACAGTTCTCTGTAATTGTTCTACTATGAGTGTGGCTAAATCAAAATACTTACAGATTTACTGGAACTTTTCCATTGAAGTTTTTCTATTATGATCATCAGTGGACAAAGGTTCCTTTTCTGTTGGTCTTTGAAAACAAATTATGGGCCATCATGTTAAATCATTTGGCCTACAATTTTACTTAATTTCATTTTGTTCCTTATTCTCTAATTCTCTGGGATTTTGCCACATGCTCTTGTTTGTTCTTGATTTGAAATGCCATTTTCACTGCTGCATAATATAACTTCTGAAAGTAGTTCTATCAGATCTCTACTTTCTCTTCATAGAAAAATTAGAATATTCCAGCATTTGCATATCACTACATGCTGCTATGAATGTTCTTGAGAATGGCCTTTGGGCACATATGCAGGAATTCTCCTATAATATACATCCAAGAAGGGAACTGCAAAGCCAAAAGTACAAGGATTTTCAGTTCTATGGGATGGGGACTATATTTTCTTAAGAAAGCAGGTGTATCAGTTCCTGCTAAATTGCTAATGGACATGTTTTGACTTCCTCCTAGTAATGATACATATCAGAATTTTAAATTTTTTCAATGTGTTATTTATGAAGAGGTATGTTAAAGTGATCTTAACCTACATGTCCATACTCAGTAATGAGATTAAGCCTGTTTTGATAGGTTATTGACAATAATTATTGTGTATTCTGTGAAAGGCCTTTTTTTGGTTCAACTTTTCATTAGTGGTATTTTCATATTAATTTTCTTTGTACAGTTTCTGTCCTATAAGTAAAAGAATTTATTTCAACACTTTTTGTAATAGAGAAAAATTGGGGGAAACCCTAATTTTCCATGACTAGAAGAATGGATTAAAATAATTTTGATTCATTCAGCTAATAAATGTGATTCAGCTGTTAAAAACTTGAAATAATATGCTGGAATTGTTAATATTATTTCTAATTCTTCCTGCAGATTCTTTATATCTACAGAAATCCTAAAGATGTTTTGGTTTCCTTTTTTCATTATTCAAATTGGGTGGCTATATTAAAGAATTCTGAAACTTTTGAGAATTATATAAAAATGTTTCTAGATGGACAAGGTAACTATGAGTTTATTTATCAAGAAACTTAGGGAAGATATGTAGAGAGATGGAAAAGGGCAATTGTACAATGCATGCTCTTGAGTAGTTACTATGACATATCAACTTAGTCTGCCACCCAGTGGCGTTTCCATTCCTTGCCAGGACCATGTGGGTCTTGTCAAGTTTTCAAAGGCATGTTGTTTAGAAAACATTTTGACCAGTCCATAAGAGGCTTACAAATATTCTATCAATTTAAACTAGCTACAAATATAATTAAAACAATACATTCCAGAATCACTAATGATCAGGGTGTTTGTGTACTCTCTCCTGGACCTGTGGTAAGCCTTCTAGGGCCATGGTGGAGTTTATCACTCCACTACTGATGAGGATTGAAAGTTGCAAGGGACTTGTAGTGAGAAGTATCAGGATCTCACTCATTTAAAGATTACATTCAGGTTTTGTCTCATTGTAAACAGGTAGCTTTGCTATCCAGAAATCTTAGAGAATGAGAAGAAAAATGGACATGTGTGTTTTCTGGTAGATATAGGAAAGTGGAGGAAATTGCTTTAAAGAAATCTGATTTAAACTTAGACCCAGGGGCTTTCTCATTTCTTCATTGCTGCCTTCCTACATCCATAAGGTCGCTTTTCATGGTCACTTCTCTATGAAAACCATGATTGTTCCCCTAAGCAGTAATCATTTCAAAACAGTAATACAGATGTTCAGTGGTTGGGGCCTTTATTTTTGTTTTTGTGACCATAAGGAGGAAAAGACAGAATACTTTGCTATTCAATAAGTGCAACATCTTTACCTTCTTACTAATTATTTTTTGCACAGTGGTGGGAAGTCGTTGGTTTGATCACATAAAAGGCTGGTATGAACACAGACATGACTTCAATATTCTGTTCATGAGCTATGAAGATATGAAAAAGGTAAAATAAGAAGTATTTTTAAAAATTCTATTTTTAAACATTTTTTCTCCTGGTTTCAGGAAAACTCATTCTCCTAGTCATTTTCATACATATTTCGTAGGCTTTTGGGGGGTAAGTGGAGGTTCTAATTTCCTGCTTATCCATTAATTATTACTGGTTTTCCTCAAGGGTTTGTTCTCACTACACACAGTCACCATGGTTATCATTTAAAAACTGTAGCAATAAAGGCAACCTCAAATATCTAGGATACCAATCTTGTAAATCATTTTTATTAATATTAATTACATATTAACGGGTTTTGTTATCTGATTTCTATATGACCATGCAACATGCACTGATCATATACAATCTCCCTTCTTCCACTCTTATTTACCCTTCCCCCTGGACCCTTCACAAGCCCTAGTATTCACAATTCTACTTTCAGTCCATATTTGTTGTTGTTCTCACGTGTGCCTCTTGCACTACTTGTCTTTGTATGTCTGGCTTATTTTATTTAACATGATCTCCTCCAGTTCATGAATTTTGCTGGAAGATTTCATTTTTTATATCTGAATAATAGTCCAGTGTGTGTGTGTGTGTGTGTGTGTGTGTGCGTGCACCATATTTTCTTTATGTGTTCATCTTTGATAGACACCTAGGCTGAATCCTTATCTATTGTGAATAGTGATACAATAAACATGAACATGTGAGTTGTCTCTTCTATGGTGACTCTATTTCTTTTTGATATATACCCAGGAATGTAACAGTTGTATTATACAGTAGTTCTGCTTTTAGTTTAGTGGGGTTTTTTGTTTGTTTGTTTGTTTGTTTGTTTGTTTTTGAGGATACACCATACAACAAACTTTTTTTTCCATGGTAGTTGTACTTAAGAAAGTTCATCAAGGAACACCATGACACTGGGGGAAGAAGCCACTTCAAAGACAGGATAATTGTTGCTATAGATGAGGGTGAGGCCTGTGAGGCATGTTCTTCCTGTTTTTTAAAGAGAATCTTCATGTGAAGTCATAGGATGCTTATATGCTGATGAAAGTTTCAAAACTGCCTGAAAACTTTGTGTAATTCAAACACAAGATAGTTGAAATTTATTGTTCTGTGGACTCTGGTTGGTACGTGGATTCATTAATACATCATATATTCAGTTACTTAAACAATCACTGAATGATTGCTCTGTGACTGGCACTGAATCGTGCGTAATAGATGACTGAATTTTTTATAGACAGAACTCATAATCTATCAGGGAAAACAGGTACTCACCAAGCTAGTATATGTAGTTCAAAAGTAATAAGTGAAATTATTAAGGAAAAGTCTAACTATAATGTCAATGTGCATACGTACTGAGAGTATCTAGTATAGTTGAAAGTGAAGGTCTTTTTTTTTTCCTGAAATAAATAAATAAGAGCTAACAGAAAGAAAAGAAATGGGAGAGACTTATAAGAAAAAACGAAAATGCATGAGACCTTTGAAGACCTAAGGGAAGAACTTGAACAATGTGGAAGAGATGAAATATTAATATAGAGGGGTTTTGTAGGAGCCAGATTTTATAAGATCTGTGGGCTATGTTAATGAGAGTGATTTCTTTAAAGTTAAAAGTAGTCAAGAGCCTCTTAAAGAATTATTAAGAGGGGTAGCCATAGAATATGATTTATATTTTTGAATGTTATTTCCATTCATGAATTAAAAAGAAAAAATAGTGAGTATAAGGAATCCAGTCCAGACACAGACCATTGTGTTAATCCACTGAACATCAGTGCTTCCTTGGATTGGAGTAATGTCATTATGAATGAAGAGAATACAGAGTTTTGAGGCACAGTTAAGATGTAAAAAGAAAAGGGATTGTACAAAGTACAAATGATAAAGAGAGAGGTATCAAGGATGCTTCCTTTATTTCCAGTTGGTGCATGTGTGCAGATAGTGGTCTCATTCCTGAAGGTGTTTAGGGCACTCTGAGGCAGGGTTGGGTTAGAGGGGGATCAGAGTAGCTTGAATATGACATTGTTTTTGACCTGTGAAGATTAAAGTGATTTAGAAGAAATCAAATGAATAGAGTGAGAAACAAATGAAAAATACAAATCAAAACTCAAAAAGATTTCTGCCTTTAGATATTAACGCCATTAATTTGAATATCATCACTATAAAGAATATAATGGCAGTAGCTTGGGAGGCTGAAGCAGGAGGGTTGAGAGTTCAAAAGTAGCTTCAGCAATTTAGTGAGGCTCTAAGCAACTCAATGAGACCCTATCTCAAAATAGAATATAAAAAGGAATAGGGATGTGGTTCAGTGGTTAAGGGGCCCTGGATTCAATTCCCAATACCAAAAAGAACAAAAGAATGCATGAGAAGAATGAATGTGGATAAAATTGATTGGGGTAGGATGGAGTAAGGAAGTAAAGGAGAGAAGGAATATAGACCTTGGTCAACTCAAGTTTTCCTCTTTAGAGCTCTTTCTAGAGAAACCTCACAATGTTGTCAAAAATTAGATATTCAGGGCTGGGGTGGTGGCTCAGTTGGTAGAGTGCTTGCCTAGCATGTGTCAGGCACTGGGTTCTATTTTCAGCACCGTATTTAAATAAATGAATAAAATAAAGGTCCATCAACATGCAAACAATATTTTTTTTAAAAAAAAAAACACATTAGGTTTTCATCAAAGTTGGAATACATTTTGGAGTCTTCCTTTGCTGCTTCTCTTGGAAATGTCTTGGTAGTTTTATGAAACACTGCCCATGCTTGCTTCTCCAGTGATAAACCCAGCAAGACGTATAAACTCAGGGCAGTTTCTCTCAGAGGATTTTTCACATTTCTCAATTAGTAGTAGTAGCCCTAGAACCTTAATGACTATGCAGGATTATTTTCTACTTTCCTGTCACAAGTAGAGTCGAATGGTATATAATTGAACTAGAAGCAATTATAACTATAATGTTTAAAGATTCATATTTAGGTGGCAAAAGTCAAGTTAGAAGACCAATAATTCACTATCATATAATGAGGATGGAGGTTACCGTTGGGGGAAGGACAAGGTTTAAAATGAGGAAAGGGTGTTTATTGGGGGATTCTGGAATGCGTGTCATTTTCATATATGTATTTTATTTTAAAATGTAAAAATTCTGGAAATACTTTAATTTATCTTAAGAGAAATGATACTCCCCTTTGGGGGGAGTCTAATATGAGAGATTTAATCATTCCCATCCTGTTATCTTTTCCTTCAACATATTGGAACTGGCTGATGCCTCTAGGAAAGAAATGCATATATACCTGAAGGGTGTGGGGCAATTGTCTTTGGAGACCCCACAAATACAGTGGTAAAGAAGAGAGCTGCCCATTGTGTTACATGAAAAACCATTTTGTGGAATAGGGCTCAGAATTTTGGATAGTAATTGGTAGTAGAATTAGGGAATGGCTGGTGTTCTGAAGAACTGGCCAAAGTGCAAGACTGTAGCAAGACCTAGAAAATAATCTCTGAATCTATGTTATGGTTTAGATATGACTTGTCCCCCAAAAGATCATATGTGAGACTATGAAAGAAAAGTTTAGGGATGATATATGATAGGATGATAAAAGGCCTGATCTAATCAGGGCATTAATATCCTAAGTGGTAATTTTAGGCAGGTAGGTAGGGTAGAGCTGGAGGAGGTAGGTCATCAGGGATATTCCTTTGAGGTATAATGTCATGAGCTGATTGGAGCTCTCTCTGCTTCCTGGTGTGATGTCTTGAGTTGTTTTTCTCCACCACATTCTTCCACCGTGATATTCTGACTCACTTCAGGCCCTGTGGAATGGAGCCGGCTGTCTATGGACTGAGACCTCTGAAACCGCTAGCCACCAAACAAACTTTGCCTCCTTTAAGTTTATTCTTGTCAGGTTTTTTTGGTCACAGCAACGAAAAACCTGACTAAAACAATCTGTGTTTCATCTTCCATTAAAATTATTCACTAAAGTCTACATTTCGATTAACAAGCTGGGGGTTTATCTGATACTTTGGTTAATAATAGTTGGCTTTGAGGGAAAGACTTTAATTTTATCTCTTATTTCCTTGTATGTGACAAGCATAGCTGTTTTGAAATTCTTTCGGATAATTTCTACATTTGTAACATCGATAGTTCTATTTTATTGTCTTTTTTATGCTAGAGCTTGTTCACATTTTCTTATCCCTTTGTATTCATTTATATTCTGATTTTATTATTTTTTTCTGCACCCAAGTTTGGTGTAGAAATAAGTTAATAACTGTGGTGTGGGAGACCAACCTTGCACATGACTGAGTCACACTCCTCTGCTGGGTGCTGAGGCACTCCATCACAGAAATGTGGCAGAGCTTTCCCCACCCTTCTTGGGTTCAAGGGTTGGTGTTTCGTGCATGGGTGTGTCTTGCTACAGCCCCATGGGTGAAGCTATGCTCACCTGTTCTTTTGTAATATAACCCCTTGCCCTGTTTAGGATAGAATCTTCCATGGAAGTGCCTTGTGTGTGTCCCCTTCTCTTACTCTGCCCTTGGGTGTGGCCTACCCAGGTGTCAGTAAACCTGCTGACAGTGGACATCATGAACATAGACTCAGCCCCCTGAAACCTGACCCGTTGCCTCATTTGAATAGCTTCTCCTCAATAAAAGGGGTCAGGGCATGTGCACTCTCTCTCTTCCTGCGGACCCTTAAGGTCAGAGGAGCCATCACAGCGACCCCAAAGAAAAAGGTATTTGTGTCCCTTGTGTGGTTATTTTGCACAGCCCAATTAGCCCAGTTCAACTGGAGTAACCCCTGAGCATTTTCTGTGGACCTGTTATTTTTATTCATCCTCTCACACTACATTTTTTCCCCTACAAGAATACAACTAACATACTCAGGAAGTTAGCAAGGCCCTGTATCCTCTGTCCCCAACCTGCCAACCCATCTCCATTTCTTGTGAGCACATAGTGTATCAAGCACTTTGAAGTTCACATTTCATAGGGGTAGGGGTTTCAGGTTTCTTTAGTTGGGGGCTCATTTTTTTAAATTTTATCCAGAAAAGAAATCTTTGCTTCTTGAATTGAAAGAAAAGTTCCTTTCTCATGAAAATTGTTATAACCTCTTTGAGATACAGTTTTTCCAGTTAAAGTACTATTTCCTATAGTAATTCTGTTTAGGTTTTATCCTCCCACTGAAATTTTTACTTGTGATAAAATATCCATGACATAAAGTATATTTTTTACTTGTGATAAAATATCCATGACATAAAATATGCCACTTTAACGACTTTGAGGCGGATACCAGGGATTGAACTCAGGGACACTCAACCACTGAGTCACATCCCCAGCCCTATTTTGTATTTTATTAGAGACAGGGTCTCACAGAGTTGCTTAGCCCTTGCTAAATTGCTGAGGCTGGCTTTGAACTCACCATCCTTCTGCCTCTGCCTCCTGAGTCCCTGGGATTACAGGCATGAGCCACCGTTCCCAGCCTGCTTTAACCATTTTTTAAGGGAACAGTTTTGTGTCATGAAGTATGTTCATATTCTTGTGCCAACATCACCACTCTCCTACTCTAAAATGAATTCATATTGCAAAACTGAAACTCTATATTCACAAGGCTATAATCCCTCATTCTCCACTCTCAACCCCTTGTAGGCCTTGTATAAAAACATTCTACTTTTTTTGTTTAAGAAGTTGATTAGTCTTAGACTATCATATCAGAGGAATCATACAGTATTTGTCCTTTTTGACTGGCTCATTTAACTTAACTTACCATAATGTCTTCAAGGTTCATGCATTTGTAGCATAATTCCTTCCTTCTAAGGCTGAATAATATTCCAATGTACATATGTACTACATTGTATTTGTGTATCTCATACATATACATACATACACATCACTTTTATATTCTGTATTGTGAATAATGATGTATGAACATGGTGTACAAATCTCTCTCTGAGACTTTAACTTTCAATTTTGGGGGTACATACACAGAAGTGGATTTTTTGGGTCATATTGTAATGCTGTTTTTAGGTTCATACTATTTCCATTGCATTTGCAGAATTTTTACATTTCTACCAACATGCATAAATCTTAATTTTTCTGTGTCATTGGTCTTATTGTTTTCTGATGTGGTTTATTTTTAATAATAAAAATATTGAAATAAAAATAAATAAAATATTTAAAAATTTAAAATAATAATAGCCTTCCTAATGGGTGTGAAGTGGTACCTTACTGTGGTTGATTTGCATTTCCCTAATGATTAGTGATACTGAGCATCTTTTCATGTACTTATTGGACATGTGTATATCTACTTTGAAGAAATCCTTTGCCAATTTTTAATTGGACTGATTTTTTTATTCTCGTTGATTTGTAAGAATTCTTTATGTATTCTGGGTAGTAGAACTTTTAAGATATTTGGTTTCTTATTCTACAACTTAAATTTCTTTGTTCTAATGTCTTTTTTGTTTTATTTTTTGTTTGTTTTGGTGTGTGTGTGTGTGTGTGTGTACTTGGGTTTTTAATGTAAAAGATAATCTTATGCGCTAACAGGGACCACTTCATTTGCTTTATTTTCTATTTCAGTACCTTTTTTGTTTTTATTGCTTAGGTGCTCCAGCTAGCATTTCTAGTATCATGATAAATTAAAGTGGAAAAATGGAGTTGAACTTACTCCACATCTCAGATGAAAATCTTTCTCTCTTAGTTGAGTTTGCTGTTAGCTGTTCCATATAAGACTTTTTCATGTTGACGTAGATTCCTTCCATTGCAGATTTATTGAGAGTTTCATCATAAAAAGATGTTGGGTTTTGTTAAATGTTTTTTTTGTGCATCAATTGAGATAATCATGTCAGTTTGTTTCCCCATTCTCTTCTCATAACAAACTGCATGGTTCATATGATGACACTTCTTTGCATTCCAGCAATCAATTTCACTAGAATATGAAAATGTTGTGTGTTTGGCTGTAACTCATGCATACTCATGGCTCTTTCAGGACCTCAGAAGTGCAGTGCTGAAAATCTGTAGATTTCTTGAGAAAGAACTTAGTGAAGAAGTCGTGGACACTGTTGTGAAACAGGCTTCATTTCAGAACATGAAGTCTAATCCACAAGCAAATTATAATGATATTGTAAAACAGGAAATGGGAGTGAGAAACAATGAAGGAAATTTTCTACGCAAAGGTACTATTCAGTAGTTCTTAGTAGCAAGATGTAAGCTGTCATTCAAGTCCTTGATACCTAGGAGAAATAATAAGTGCTTCCATTATGTCTCTCCAAGTAACAGTGACATTTGGAACCTAGAGAAATTAAGCATCTAATTGAGAGTAGGTCTGAAGAGGTTTTCAAGAAACCTAAGTGTTTTAGTATACAAACTGCTTAATTAATATTGCCTTATTTCTAAGTCACATGAGCCTGGTCAGGTATATTAAATGAGAAGAACAATAATCCTTATTTTCCCTTTTTTCTTCTAGAATAATCTAAGGAGTAAACTTAATGTGTGTTTTGCTGTGCTGGGAGGAGGTTTGGATTACTGTGTTACCATGTGTCATCATAAAGAGTGATATCTTATTAGTGCTATCTGCTATGAATTCAGTTACTTCAAAAAATCCTTGAAATCGTTTTTACTGTGATCTTATTACATGCTTGAAGTAGTTGTCAAGAATGAATATTATTTCCCTTGTAACTGATACCCTTTAAATTCAAAGTATTATTATTATTAGTAGTAGTAGTATAGTAGTACCAGGGATTGAACTCGGGGGCACTCAAGCACTAAACCACATCCCCAGCTGCTATTTGGTATTTTATTTAGAGACAGGGTCTCACACTGAGTTGCTTAGAGCCTCACCCTTGCTGAGGCTGGCTTTGAACTCAACATCCTCCTGCTCAGCCTCCTGAGCTGCTGGGATTACAAGCATACAACACCACACCTGGCTTCAAATTGTTAATTTTTAATTTAATCATTTAGTGTATAAACATTCTAAACATTTCACTTCTACTTTATTCACATTTTATGTCATAATTGGCTCATAATTTACCAATAGGATGATGGATATTAATTTATGAACAATTGTATAAACATCTTATGGAAATTGCCCTAGATATTGATATATTTTAAAATTCCTTTTTTTGATGACATTTATTATAAATTCTCCCTTTTAATTCCTCAGCTACAGTAGATAAAAAGCAATTCTCATATCCCTAAGAGCTTGTTATCTTTTCCAAAGGCCAATAATAATGTCTATACATGTGAACCTGATAGCTGGAAATGCCAAGTTATTTTTCACTTAAGAAGAATGGCATAATGTAATCCCTGCGGCTCAGGAGGCTGAGGCAGAGGAATGCAAGTTCAAAGCCAGCCTCAGCAAAAACAAGGTGCTAAGCAACTCAGTGAGATCCTGGCTCTAAATAAAAAACAAAATAGAGGTGGGGAGTGGTTTAGTGGTCGAGTACCCCTGAGTTCAATCTCCGGTACTCACCCCCAGAAAAAAGAATGGCATAATGATGGTTTAATCTTGTATAAAAAAAAAACAAAAAAACATGCAGAAAGAGAAGCTCTGGTGCTCTATAAGACTTTGATTTTATTAGTTGAAAATACTTGAGTCTTGTTTGTTTTTTTTTTCAAATTGAAAAAGAAAGAAATACTTATCTTGGAGGGTTTTAGTAAGAATTATATTACAATTGATAAATGTGGTGCACTTAGTATGAGGTTCACTTAGTATATATACAGGAGTATATATATTAAAAATACTTTTTAAATTCTAATATATTCATATCTTTATAGTTTTTTATTCCTAAGGATCACAGAGTGGGAAAGGCTAACATATGGGGAAGTAAATTTTAAATCTCTTTACTGCATTATTTTGTTCCTAGATTCTTTATTCAATCATTCCTGTGTAAGAAAAGATGAGGTCTCCAATCCTGTGGACCTGAACAAATATTTAGCTTGGTTGAAAAGAGATTAACCCATTAATTTCCAATTTTTAAATTCTGTGAACACAATAATATTCACATATTATTAGAAAGTTAAAAAAATAGGTATATTGGTTGCTCCACTTAAATTTGACAGGGGTTCCACATCTGGGACAATGGGACACATGGGTTCAAATGGTTGAGGCAGTCTTTAACATGAAGTGTTCTTTATTCACCAAAGTGCCATTCATGTTCATATCCCATTAGGTACCATTGGAGATTGGAAACATCATTTTACTGTGGAGCAGAATGAAAGATTTGACCAGATATTCCAAAGGGAAATGAAAGACTTTCCCCTCAAGTTCGTCTGGGATATAAATGAGGAGTAGAATTCTAATCAAACTATAAAAGAATCATATAAACTCTAATAAAATGCTATACCTTAACATACATAATAATAATAACATACATAATGCCTATTACTAATTATAAAACTTCATTAACAAAATAAATAAACTATGCTTAGATCAGTTGCCATGAATTCTTTAAAATTTAAAAAAATTAGTTTTACTTTAATAATTAAAATTACAAATCAGAAATTAAATTGCTTTTGCAGCTTTGGTACCCTGCATGAAAATGGCAAAACAGAAAGCATAAAACATGACTTGCAAATATCTTCAGAAATTATTCTGTATTGTGTATTTTCCTTTACTCACAATTAAACTCAGAATCAATTAAACATTAAAAATCATTTTATTCTTGTACTTAAATTTTAATTCTTTGGTTTCGAAATCAATGTGGATATTCAAATGTGATATAGAATAAATGGAGAAGTCCTATATAAACAGGTACTTCTTTTTAATAATTTAACAGATCACAGTTTGCACTAGATGAAAAAATAGTTTTTTCAGGCTGGTCAGGATGGCATGCACTTGTAATCTCACGATCTAGGAAGCTGAGGTAAGAGGATAGCAAGTTCTAGCCAGCCTCAGCTACATACAGAGACCCTGTCTCAAAAGTTTTAGAAAAGGAAAGGAGGCTTGGGGATATAGTTCAGTAGTAGAACTCCCCTGTGGTTATTCCCCAGTACAGTAACACTACCACCACTACAACAAAGTTCTATCCATAATGTATCACTCAATAAAATTACATCACAGAAATTGAACAGTTGAATATTTAATAAAAGTTTAGTAGATTTATAAGCCTTTAAGGGTAGCACCATACAAAGTCATCAAATGGAAACAACCTGTGATACTTGGCTTTCCATTATTATAACAAAATACCTGAGATAATAAATTCATAAGAAAGGAAAAGTCCATTTTGGATCATTGTTTCAGAGGTTTCAGACACAGTCACTTGACTCAGTGGATTATGGGCTGTAGTGAAACATTATTTCATGATGGGCAGTGTGTAGTGGAGTAAAGCTCCTCCCTTCAAGGCATCTGGGAAGGAAAAAGAGAGAAAGAAGAAAAGTCCAGGGTCCTAATTCCCCAATGGAATGGCCCTGATGACTTAACTTTCTCCATCTAGACCCGACAGGTGGTCTGCTTCCCAAGAGCACTAAGGAGTAGGGATGGAGCTTTCAACACAGGGGTCTTTTGGAGGACACTTACCCAAACCATAGCACAAACCAATATCCGTGTACATCCAAATAAATAAGTAAATTGTGATATTTCACATTATGAAACAAATTATCTATAAAGAAGCATGAATTACAATTCTCTGAAAAACATACACAAGTTTAGAAATATAATATTCAGTGGAAACATGCCAGACACTTATTGCATGTTTTCTTATATGATTCGAAAAAAGGTGCAACTAATGATGGTTTTAGAAGGTGGGTGTTCACCTTCAAGGAATAATGCAGTAACTTAACAGGTAAATGAGAGCACTTCTGGGATGTTAGCATTATTTCTTTTCCCTTGATCTTAGTACTGTTCCTTTTGGGAATATTTGTGTGACAGTGTACATAGGATTTGTATATTTTTCTGATTTTTACCATGCATTTATTTGATTTATAAAATAAATAAGAAAACATTTCCAAAGAGCAGAAAAAATCTTCCAGTAATTAAATGGACAAAACATTAATTCATAGTTAGCAAAAGTTTAAAAATTAGGGAATACTCAATGATGTGCTCAGATGCAAAAAGTTCCAGAGGAAAAAAGAAAGAGAACAAAGCATTGGGCTCTTAGAGAACCACTGAAAATAAGGACTGATTATATTTTAAACGTTAATTTTAATGTTTCCTCTCAAAAATGGGCAGAAGTCTCCTAACCTTGAGAATCTTGAGAAGGGAAGGATCAAGTATGCCCCCTATAGACTGAATTTGATGGATGTCATTGCAAGGATTAAAGAATATTGGGATGGGTATTGGCTCAAGCAGTAGCGCGCTCACCTGCCATGCGTGCAGCCTGGGTTCGATCTTCAGCACCACATACAAACAAAGATGTTGTGTCCGCCGATAACTAATATATATATATATATATATATATATATATATATATATATATATATACATATTAAAAAAAGAATATGTTTAGGGAATGAGGTAGATAATGTTTCTTAAGCCAAACATCTGTATAGAACCTGAAATACACAGGACCCTTAAAAAGATCTAGAAAAGGAATATGAATTTTCATTTATATGGATTTTATTTTATCATAAAAATAAGCACACTGGTTTACACTTATCTGGGAAAGTCTGAAACTCTCAGGTCACCCCTTAATAAGGTCAAGGTCTGGGCTGGGGTTGTATGTAGCTCAGTGGAACAGCACATACCTAGCATGTGTGAGGCACTGGGTTCAATTTCTTTAAAAAGATTAAAAGTCCATTGACAAGGAAAAAAAAATATTTAAAAGAAGGTAAGGTCAAGAGTCTATCTATTTCTCACCTTTCAATGGAGTTGAAGGAGAAAATAAGGAATCCCTTACCTCTAGAATCTTGGATAAATGGGGAAGAAGATGAAGTTTAAATTCAATACAACTGTAAACTGGAAAAATCAGGAATTCTGGGAAAGTAGGGAATTCAAGAAAGCACAGGATCCAAGGAAAAACTACAGATGCCAGTTGTGGGGGAAAAAAAAAGTACCATACAAGAGAGAAACCCACTTAAGAGACCAGGATTTTTTCTCAAACAAATCTAGCTTACAGGAGGTTAAAACTCCATGTGGTTATTCAAAGATTCATAAAACCCTACAACGAAAACCATACCATTCAATTTTCCATACCATTATGGCAATTTACCACCCTTTGAGACCCTCTGTCAAACATCTGTAAACTCTAGGAAAATAACAAAAATACAAGTAGCTGAAGATACAGAAAGGTAAGAAAAGGCAGGAAGATTATGGAGGGGAAACAAAACTCAAAGAAGAATCTAGAATGGGGAGGGTAAAGTTTTCCCTTTTTTGTTTTTTTGTTTTTATTTTTGTGTCCCTTTACTCTCAGGAGCCAGTCACAGATAATAGTACTGGCAGCTGGAACACAATAAAAACTTCAGCCTGTAAGTGGTGCTCATGAACACTGCCCATTCCAGAAAATTTATTCTATTTAGTGTCTTTCATATGATCAAAAGAGGCATTTAAATTTACCATTAATTATATATCCACTGTACAGTTATTATGAGTAGAAAAATGAACAAAAAGATTTCTTATTTAATGATAATGTATTGGCCTCATATGATAATTGAGAGTGAAAGTCACATTAGTCTCATTTCTCTCATTCACAACCATGTCAGAGAAACTGAAGATGTGCTTATTTTTTAATCATAAACAATATTAAAAAATAAATTTATGGCATTTACTTTAACACAGTTCCTGTCTTTGTAAATAATGAATATTGTTGAAGTGTAACTGCAGGACCTACAAGATTTCCGTGTTCACGGGACTCTTCAATAGTGCTGGGCTCTGCTCACTCACTAGCTGAGTGATTCGCTCCCTAGGAGGCACCTTCCAGCACTGATACAAATTTAAGCCCAGCGCTTTAATTATTCTCTCAATCTCCTACAACTTGGTAAGGATTATATAGCTCTATGACTCAGCAGTGGGGTAGGTGTTATTTTCTACCCATTTTATCCTTAAATCTCCATTATCATCATTTAAAAAAATAAATTCAACCTACAGACTGAATCTCACAAATCACCATCAGTGTTAAACAGTGACTTCAAGTAAATATCCAGGCAATTTAAACACCCTGTCAGGGTTGTTGTCCTGTCAATGAATCTTCCCTTTCTATTTCTCCTTCCATAAATGACACAGGACATGGAAGCTTAGTGTCCACATTTTGTGTTCTGTCTCCTTGATCTTTGCTGACCTTCACTAAGATGTGTCTTCTTCCACCTAGGCATCCAACAAAGGTATCTCTCAAGTGAAATTGGCAACTACAATTGGGAACAGTGGACCTTCCCTTGTCTAAGATCTCAAAATTCTTCACTGAGTCACTTCCTTACCCTACCCCAAGCCCTTCTTCATCCTTTGACAGGAGCTTGGTGGAAATTCTTTATGTCCTAGAACAATGATTCACACCCTGTTAAGTCCTTATCTCTAGTATTTCCCCATTTTATTTTCCCCACAATACTCTGTTTTAATGGAAGTATAATAGACATACTACTAAATACATATATTAACACATGGATTATGGATTTTATAAAATATATACATTTCCATCAACTCAAATCATTTCCAGTCAGTTTCCATATCGGAGACAAGCATTATTTCAGTTTTCTTAACATAGGTTTTGCTTCCTGAAACTTCATATAAAGGATAAAAATCATCTTTTGCTAAAAAAAAAAATGAGACTCTTCTGTTTTCTAATGTATACCAGGAGGTGTTCTTTTGTAATTGCTGAGTAGAATTTTGTATGAAAATAACACAAATTGTTCAGTTACCCATTGATAGCTTAGGTTGTTTCTAGTTCAGGATTTTCATGAATAAAATTGCTACGAATAGTCTTGAACAAGATCTTGTTTTTGGACAGACATTAAGTCTCTTGCATAAATACCTAAGAATAAAATCACCAAGCCCGAGCTGCATCTAGAGGTTGGAACTGGGCTGCTTGCCGAGCCCTGTTCTCCAACGCCTGGACCGCAGCCTCGAGCGCCTTGGTCGCCTGTTCACTGCTGCACCTTCGGGCAGAGCCTGCTCTGAGGTCGTTCTGCATCCCCCTGTGAGGGGACCCATGCTCCTGTGGGGGGCCTGAGAGCCGCAGTTGTAGCCGCTTGGGTCCCGGGGGCCGGGCTCCGGGCCGAGGAGCGGCGGAGGCCATGGCGGCGCTGCTACGGTTGCGGACGAGCGCGGCGCCGGCGCCGGTGGCAGGATTTCATTTCTAGAAATCTGGACTGGAAACAGAAGCAGCAGTTTGTATAATCCCAAGAACTTGCTTATGCCAGGGAGCTGCAAGGGTAACATGAATATCATTGAGGAGATCCAACATGGCAGCAGGCGTGGAGAGATCAAGTCTCTGACCTCTTCAGCTGCGCGGACATAGGGAGCCGTAAATTGTCTAAATGCTATTTGCTCAGGATCACTAGGCAATGCTGAGCTGACGTGGATCTGGGGCGAACAGTCTGGGCCCCTCAGAACACACACCAAGCCCGGATCGGCTGCATTCAAGCTCCGATTCGCCTGCTTCTCGTGACTCAGCACTAAGGATCCCTCTGAAATAACTGGTCGGCCCGTCTGAACTTACAGAGGTAAAAGCCAACCGAGCCTTCATAGGCAGTGGCCACAGGATTGAAACGGGGATTGGGAGAGACAGTCAGGACCCACCC